TATAGTTGAATGAAAACTCATGGAAAGGTTTCAATTGCAAATATTCATGGTTTTCACAATTAGACTTTGTTTATTATAATTTATCAATAAATTACAGTATATATTTTATGTTGATTTATTTCCTCTACAATTCAATCTAACATTGCTAACAATTAGTTTATTTAAAAAAAATTTAATAAGTGCTGGTTATTAATATTACTAAAAATGTTTATACTTTAGCATTTGTTAATAATGTTCAGCCATCATAAATAAAAATTGAAACCAACAATTTGTTTAGCTATTTATAATATTATTTCATAGTAACTGACATAGTGTCATTACAGTAGAATTCCAAACAACAAAAACGCCCTTAACTAGATCTAGATTATCCGTAATGCTCAGCAAGAATTTAAAATATCCACAAGAATGGCAACAATGTTCTTGGGACTTATGCTAAGATAATTGCAATTTTTCATTTTAGCGTTGTTTTACCAGTTCACATAAAAAATATAAAGTACACATATTTCCCTCAAAACCAACCTTAAAATAACAATTATTCAAAACTAAAACCAAAACATTTTCAAATTTGAATTGAAAAACCAAAATCAAATTGTCAAACAAACTATCATTAGGAAAATATCAATGATCCAAAACCCTTGTTTTCTAGAATAGACTGCAATTGTAAAAGCGACATAAAAGAAATTAGAAATAAGAACTAAACTAGAAGCTATAACAATGAGGTAGGTGAGAACAAATTAAAATATTAAAGGATCGTCTTATTGGATGGCTCATTCTCAGAAAAAAACCGGGGCACCTGTACCTTGTCCCTCTTAGGCCAAGACCTCAGCCTGAATGTTTCCAGGTAGTAAATGAATTTTGTTATACCTCCATAACTCTTTATATACTTCCATACTTACTTTAATACTTTTCAATGAAATGGCGACCATACAAAGTAGGTATGTTAAGCCAAGTATGAATGGAGATGAGTGTAGGATGAGTGGCGCGATCTTGTAGTCTTGTTAGTGACTAAGGCCGACTTATTCCTTAGACACAGCTGTTAATTAATAGCCCATACAGCTAATGGCAACTAAAGGACCTACAGTTTATACAGTAGAACCTTGATAACAAGACTCTCATAGAGATCATAAAATAAGACTTGTTATCAAGGATGACTTCTAATCGAGGTTTGCAATAACATGTGGTTAGGGGTCAAATAATTTCATGGGGATTTGAAAATGACACTTGTTATCAAGGGTGACTTGTTATCGAGGGTCTTCTTATCGAGGTTCTACTGTAATGGAATCCAAACCACATTTTTGCCTTGGTATATTCGAATTGGTCTAATTTTCAGGATAGTGCTGCGGATAGTCGTAGTACTCACTCGTGCGGACGTTAATCCGCACCAGGGAGTATCGCATCCACAGTGCATGCCTATAAATATCCACAATTCGTAACCTCCTAGTAGCTGGATTACAGGACGACACCACCTGTCCCAGTTTTATAAATTTCATTTCATAACTCTGGGATTTTTAAGCGTCCACAGACAATCTTTTGGGACACCATGCCCTCACATGACAATAAACTGAAACCCGGTTTTCCAGAATGTTTGGACACCATATTTTATAAATCATTAAATAAGCATCTTATCATGACTAACTGACTATATTTGCCATTACGTCCACTAATAAGTGAATTTGATCCAATTATGCATCTCAATTAGTTTAGCAACAGCAAAAAGCAGGTTACCTGTGTAATTTGTGTAGATCAAGTTAGGTATTGTTCTCCCTGAATTGTACTGAAATACTGTTTCATATTCATACAATGATTTGTTTTAAGTTATAGAAAGATGATAGGAAATGGTTTAGAAATGGTCCAAATTGTTCAAAAATAAGCTTCAACATTTTTATCCATCTCGCTGCCTGCATGTGAAATTCCTAAAATATAATAAAACTATTGCACATAATTCACTCTTAGCTTGGAGTGGAAAGGCTTACAAACACCACACGATTTTATAGAATTTTTTCTAATATTCTAACTTATTCATAGTTTGTAGGATTTTTAGTGACCTAAGCCTGCTATCATCAATAAAATTCAAAAAACCTGGGCCCTTTTGCTCTGTGATACATCATATTCATAATTTTACTGGAGTGATTCTTTTGTGTCTATTTCTAGTTAATGCCTGTTTCACCCTTATTATGTTTAGGCCAGAAGAACTTTATTTCAGATAGGAGCTCTTTGTAACCCATCACAATAAGCTGTTTATGTTGTTACATTTTCACTCGATTATAAAGCAGTAACAGTCTTATCCGAGCTTGCCACAGCTGATAGACAAGATTCTACTGTACCATCAAAACTAAAATTACTTAGACAGTGACGAATAAAAGTAATGACTGTGCATCTAATGCCCACAATAAGGTCTAAAGAAAAATGATTCATAAATAAAGAGATATGAGGCTCATAATCTCTTGAGTTTCGTTCACAAAAATAGGCTTTTTTATCTATTTCCTTCCTTCAAAGAAGTCACTATTCATTGCATGAGTACATTTAAGAAGTGCTCATTAGTTATTGGAAATATGTGTATGCTGGAGTTATGTAATGCAAAAGGTCTGAACTTAGTTATTAATTTAATAATGTGATAAATTTAGTTTTTATTATTCAGGTAAATTTGTCAAGTGTTATATTTTTATGGTCTAAGAAGAAAATTATCTTTACCTACACAAAACTAGAGTTTTGCAAAGAATATTACAGTTGCTATTATTAAGTAGGCCTACGGGGTGTCTCACAAAGAGGTTGTTGTTTTTTAACTAGACATTTCAAACACGCTACTAACGTGAAATTCTACAGTTACACTAAATCACTAAATACATGTATGAAAAATACTTCCAAATCTAATTTGGTTTTGATGAATGAGAAAAAAACCGTGATGTAACGAAATAAGAAGAAAATTGGCAAAATAGTATTCTAAGCGTGATTTAAAAAGTGCATATAAATGAAATAAGCATGTCAGTTTTAATGAAGAGTTATAATTCAAATTAATTTTATTTACGATTTACCACTCTCTTATCTATTGTTACTTTAATTTTATTTACTTAAGCAACATTTTAGGAATATCTAGAAAATTTTTAAAAATTTTTTCAAATAAAATTACTTTACAAAAACACAAGCTTATTTTTTTGTTCTGTCAATTTAATCTTGGTCAGATTCAAATGGGACTCGGAGGTGGTTTTTTTACAAATATGTTTGTTGCAACTGCAGTTTCAAGTTAGCGTGTTCAATGTGTCTGGTATATTACTTCAAATAAAATAGCAATTTCTTCGTGGAACGATCACCCCTATGTCAGTAGCTATTTCCAAATCACCTACAACAAATTGCTAAATCCTAAATAATTGCTATATTTTATATTTATCTACCTTGTAGTTTGCTAGAGATTAGGGTGCTGATTAATTATTTTACGCCACACTACATTATTTTGACGAACTTCCCACGCAAGGAATTAGTCCAGAAAACAGCTGTTTGCCGCCAGCTTATTCAAATGGGGTTTCATTGCGTACTACTGTGCTGCAATGAGTTTTGCCGGACACCAATCAGCTGATTATACCGGTACTGTATTTAGGTGGCAGTGAGTAGTTATAAACAAAAACATAACCTCTACCTCTCTTAGAGGTTATGACTAGTGATTTTTAGTCCTTTAGTTGGTGGAAATAAGGATTTGTACGGATTTAGTAGTATGGCGTAAACTATCGTACGTAACTCGTCCAAAATGTGTGTACCGGACTCGTATGGTAATCCCGTACTCGACTTCGTCTCGCACGGGAACGACCACACTCGTCCGGTAAACACTTATTTTCAGGACTAGTAACGTAATATACTATTACATCCCCAAACTGTGAGCTTCATATGTACACTTGCTGTTAGATAAACAGCTGTTTTGTTATTGGCACCTTACATTGTTTCACTGCTGTAAACCTTAAATTCTTGACTACTGCAATTGATTTGTCCCTTATCATATTTTTATCCTTGTATTTTGGTTTATTGAACTGAGCAGCAATAATTGCATTTTTGTTGTTCCCCAGTAGTCAAAGTATATAGCTGTTTGATTCAGCGAGTTTAGCGTAGAATTAAGAGTGATGTTTTCATGTGAGTGTGTATTTAATAAATTCTAGAATGGCTCATCAAAATTTATATACTGTAAATGAGGAAAACAAATTTTAAAAGTTCTGTGTGGTACTATTTCTTAACTATGATCAATAGCAAAGTTGCCCAGTGTAAAATTTGTAACTCCAGTTTAATGTGTGAATCATAAATTAATAGAATCCCAGAATCGGTTTAAACAATTCCCATAATCCCGGGATAGGATTGAATCCACTGCCTGTCGCTCGCTGCTTACACCTACTGTAGCCAACCTCTGCAGAATTACAGGTAAACAAATAGGTCCCGATATCAAATCAATGCCGCCACTAGCGCTCGTAACACAGCTGAGGCCTTAGGAGTACTTGTGGTAGAGACAGTAGGGGATGTAGAGTCGGCGTCTGAAGGTCAGGAGAAACAACAATAGAACAGCACAACATGACAGCTAGTGTGTACATTTTGAGAAGATACTTATTTCGGAATAACTTATATGTAGCAGTTCATAGTGTCAAGTTTGTATTCATTCAGTTTAGTTTTATACATTTTTTCCTAATTTTGGCCTCATGATGGCTCCGCTCCGTCTATGGTGCTATCTCTGTAGGTATAATACCCGCCTAATACTTGATTAACAACAGTAATATGGGTATGAGAGTAAGTGATGTCTATGACAAAAGGAAAACAGTAGGTGACAGAAATGAACACTACCATAACACCTGATTATTGAATACAGCCTCACAAAATATGACTTCAGATTTTAACTGTAACACAATTTTTACATGACTGTGATATCTATAGTCAATGCTGTCAAGTAAAATTACCACTTCCGTGTATCATGACCAATCAATTTTCTCACGTTTGAGTACAAAGTTACCCAATTTGATTGTTGGTTGTAGGTGATGGTGACCAATGTGACGTCGCTACTCAAGACAGTCAAGGCAGTAGAAGATGAACATACCAGAGGAACCAGAGCTTTGGAAGCCACGATTGAAGCTATTGCTCAGGAGATCAGAGTAAGTACTTCTTGTTGTTTCTCTCTTTCTGCAGGCACTGTATTCATTTATTTAACTCTCATACAAACAATGGTAGGGAACTTAAAAGCAAAATTGTAAATGCAAATTTATCTTGAGTAAATTAAGTTGGCATCTGAGTTGTTATAAGCTTACTTTATTCAAAGTTCCCAAGTGGTGGATGCATTCAGTGTTTATATTAGATTCGCTGGGTGAAATAGAGAAATTGGATAGTTTCTAATGATTTACCACCCATATCGTGGTTTGTTTTTCACCGCAATAAAGTGTTTTTACGGGAACTTTGCCTGTTTAGACTTTTATCATGTGTTTCATGTGGTCTAAAGCTAAAGTAACATTGACTTCTAAGATTAAACAGCAGTTCACCAGGTTGAGATTGTCAAATTGTTCAAAAATGTCTTCAATCATCAAATGCAGTTAGTAGACTACTTAAATGTAGTTTGTTCGCCAGATAATCCAAGCAATTTGAGAACTTGACACGTTTTTTATCAAATCTCTAAGGAAGTAATATTATTGTGCAACTCTAGACCTTTTGAAATAAGCAAGGAAGCTTTGGAGTTAGAACCTAAAGCAGTAAATGATAATGATGTAAGTAATAAATAAACAGAAAAGCACCAGGAATTGAACCTAACTTATTACCAATGATATATTCCGCAGGCTCTCCACAGTGTAGAAGTGACTCGAGTGTCGGCGACGGCAGAGGAATTAGTCCGCTGCACCAAGCCTATCACTCTCGCCACAGCTAAGGCAGTTCACGCTGGCAACAGTTGCAAGCAAGAAGACATCATTGTAGCTGCCAACATGGGTCGCAAGGCCATCTCTGATATGCTCACTATCTGCAAGGTAGCTTACTCCTTCCTTTGTTGTCCTTTACGAATGAACTTTCCTTCCATCCAAGGATGTTTCCCATTCTTTGTTTCCTAGATAGGTGGTTTCCAAACCACTAAAAGTACAAACTGACTACAGGTTAAGTAACCTCAATGTATCAGTTACTTACATTCCATAAACTATTGGTGGTTCTGCTGGGACTGTTAGGATTGTAAATATTCAATTTCAGGAGCTTTTTGAAAAGTTACAGACCAATCTTTACATTGTAAGTTATTTCAACGATAAAAACATTCAAAATTCACAAATTTAGAAGAGAAGTATACATATTGTTTTCAAATGACCACCCCTTAACTGTTTTCAGGAAAATTAAATTTGAAACAAAACAAATAAGATTTAGTCTACTGATTTAAAATTTAGCTGAGAACAAGTGTAATAAGAAAATCTATAACCACCCTAAGTCCAAAAATTGATAATTATGTAATATTTCTCATTATTTCACATAAATAACACAGTATATGTACTCATGACTGCAGGTAATTGTGTATTCATATTGTATCAACTCACATACTCACAGTTTCTCATTATTTCACATAAATATTGCAGGATATGTACTGATGATTGCTGATAATTGTGTATTCTGTCAACGTTTACACATGTATATCGCAGGGTAACGCTAACACGGCAGATGGCGATGAGCTCCGGAGACGCACTCTGCAGGCAGGTCAGGACGTGGCAATCCAGTACAGAGAGCTTCTACAAGCTGTACTCCACAGTCTGAGCAGATCTGGCGCCATCGAAGCCAAGCAGGGTCTGTCTCATATCTCCCGGCGCATCGCACAGTGTGTAACCGAACTGGTGGCTGTGGCACAACTGCTTAAGGGTACAAATCATCAATATCATGAACTTGATTGAAGAAAACTGTTTTAATTTATTAAGTCCTAATGGTTAAGTTCCAAAATATGTAGACCTTCTACTATTTTGAGCTCCAGTAAGTCAATCTTCATTGGACATATACATTGAATCTTGTGATGTGTCAAGACTTCACCAAGTTTTAGATCATAAGAGTGACAGTGATAGCCTGGGCTTCCATCTGGTGGTATTGAATAACTCCCAGTAAAGAGGGGCCACCCAATGGTTAAAATTGAAGCACAAAAAGTTTGATTTTTGCTTTTTTGAACCTAAATTTGCTTTACCAATTACTTTTATCATCGGTTGTAAAATTTGAAAACTTATTTCTGTGGTCACTGGTATAGTGTGAATTATTTAACACTTTTATCAAACCCTGGGTCTGACAGGACCACAGGAATTTTCACAAACGCATGTTGGCAACACTTGGGGATTTCATTTCTCCAAAACCTTCCCCCCTTTTCCTCCCCTACCTGTTAGTATATTGTTTGTTCATTTTGCGAGGGTGCCGTGACCTTGACAGGTCATCTGTTCATAACATACGCGTCTCAGAAGCCCAGCGTTAGTGTATTTTATAGGGTTTTGGTTAGTGTTATAAAAATAGGGTTTCAGTAAGGAAGTGTTAATTATTATGTATTTACTGCACAATCTGGAAACATGTGGTTAGTCTCATAAGGGGACTCGTGCCCCTCTAGCCCATATTGATGGACGCCCATGAGTGATAGCAACTCATTATTCAATTAATTAAATCTAGATTTAACTTTGGCATGTCTTTACCAGCAATAAACATATCTTTGCTTATTTTTTAATGAAGAACAAATGTTTCCAGGTACAGATTGGGTGGATCCAGATGACCCTACAGTTATTGCAGAGAATGAACTTTTGGGAGCTGCTGCCTCCATCGATGCTGCGGCCAAAAAGTTGGCCAGTCTACGACCTCGCAAATCAGTGACACAGGTTAGCTATAAGCCATTTCAAAATTCTCAATTTTTTTAACAGAATCCTTTTATTTTATTTAGAATCAATTACATTGTGAGTTAGTTCATGTGTTGTACCTAGAGATTTTTCACTGCTGTATAGAAATTATTGAATGTGAAGAATAATAAGAATAGTTTATTCTTATTGCTACTTAACATGAATATGCAATACGAATTGCATGCGTCAGTTTTGATGTTGTCTGAAATGAGAGCATTTCAATATCATCTTAGTAAAAATTGAATAAGGCTCAACAGACAGTTTGTCAAAATAGACTTGACAGGTAAATAAATTATCTCCTTATAAATTAGAATTGGCAGACAAGGATTCAATATTCATTAAGGTAACTTATTAATCTTAAACCTAATATTTTGTGGTTGTTTGTTGTCTTAACCAGTCTACAAAAACAAATCTTTGTATTACTTTTAATTTTTTCTAGAGTTTTACTAATTGGTGTTACTATTTTTTAACATATCTGTATTTTTCTTCTCTTCCCTGTTCTACTGTGGAGGATAACAAGGATGATTGGTGCTTCATTTAGAGCTACCCCCTCAAGATATGTTTGATATTCTTGGTTGTTTTTATTCTTCAACCGAGAATCAAACATATTATTGAGGCGGAACTCGCATCTTCATACAGTTCTCAATCTACGAGAGAAAGTTTAACCACACACACTAATGATATGATCTGTCAACTTCAAAACTGTAACAGCGTAGAGTGTTTTGTTGTTTAATGTCGTTGTACTATTTATTTGATAGTGAGGGTTCCAAAGTATCCTTTAATACTTGGAATTTTCCCTATGTCCTTCTTGGACATAAGGAAGGTCCTTCTTGGAAATTCAAAGAATCTTCCAAGATTTCTTATCTTGGAAGATTCTTTGAATTTAGCTCTGTCTAGAAATGTTATCCTTTGTTGAGAAATTTTAATTTTTAATCATATTTTACTCCTTATTTTTTTTCTTAATGCTTATACAGGGTGTCCCGGAACTCTCTACCAATATTTTAGGGCATTGATCCTGGGTAAGAAACATATCTAAATATCATATTTAAATTGTCTGGAAGTCCTTAGTTACTAACATAGCCGCCATTTAGTTTTTTTTCACTTATTTAGACAAAGCTACAAAAAAATTATGACAGTTTTCCAAATTCATAAAACAAAATAGTGGCCATTTATATATTTTTTTCTTAAATAACTCAAAAACCGTTGATTTTAGAACTTTACAAGAATAACCTTTTCATGGCAATTTAATTACAAATCGATTGACACCAGAATCATTAAGATTGGACGAATATTAACTGAGATATGGCAGCTTTAGTGATACTTGACTGCTGGTGATATTTGACAGTTGCAGTGCATGCTGAGGCATGCTGTCACGTACCACTAAAGCTGCCATATCTCAGTTAATATTCGTTCAATCTTAAAGATTAGGGTGTCAATAAATTTTGAATTAAATTCCCTTAAAAACTTTCTTCTAAAACTTTTGTAAAATCAACGGTTTTTGAGTTATTTAAGAAACAAAATTATAAATGGCCGCCATTTTGTTTTATGAATTTGGAAAATTTTCAATGTTTTTTGTAGCTTCTTCTAGTTGTCATAAATGCAAAGTTTCAATTTTGTATGTTTATCCACTTTTCAGAAAACAAATTAATAAGTGAAATAGCTTATTCCCTATAGGGGAAATTCGCTAAAAACAAAATGGCGGCTTTGTGAGCAACTATGGACTTCCATACAATTTAAATATGATATTTAGATATGTTACTTACCCAGGAACAATGCCCTAAAATATTGGTAGAGAGTTCCAGGACACCCTGTATATATTGTTGAGTTTTGCAATCTTCTGGTAGTTAGTATTATGGCAAAAAGGTTACTTTCAAATATTTCACTTTTGAGCCCTGAAAATAACTCCTATAAATTTGCTTTGTATTTCATGAATATTTTACTTAATGTTAACAAACACATTAATGTTTATTCAACCACAGGTCAGTTACCAATTACCATTAATGATCTTGTTTGTCTTGTGTGTTAAGTGTTTAAATGTTTATTTATACTAACTTAACAATCTTCACATGAAGATAAAGGATCAAGATGGCTCTATGTAAGAGCTGAAACTAAAAGTACCATTTTTAATATTTTATCTTATGTATCTAAAGCTTTTTGCTGAAACTTTTTTTGCAAGTATTAGAAAGTCTAAAATATACATTGCTTGTAAATAATATCTACTTTGTTAAACCATTAGAACATATGTTACACATACATTAGAAGCGAGGCTTCCATGGTCACAAACACTAACACTAACATTATAAACCGGATGTTCCGGGTACATCCCTGTTTTGTTATTGTGGGTGGTGACGCTACGACTAAATTAGTTTGACACTTGTTTCGGTGAACCGTTCTGACGATGAGTGTCTATAATAAAGAACTGGCCAAAACGTCAGGGCTTAGTAATAAGTTTTTAATGCTGTCATACCCAGAAGACCTCGTTTTTAGTCTGTAATCATCATATTACATTAGTTTTATCGATAGGTAACAGGGTGTCTACCAGTCGGGAATTCCGGGAAATTCGGGAAAAAGTCAAGGATTTTGAAAGGTCGGGAAAAGTCGTGAAAAAGTCATGAATTTCGGCCGAAAGTCGGGAATAATCTAACCTTTCAAAATTAGGGATGAACGGGTCCCAAAACTTTAAAACAAATTCTGGATCTTATATTCCTGATCATTGGGACGGGATTACATTGAAGGGGTGTGGGATGAAAATGCATCGGAATTCCAATTTGATTCAGTGATGATCAAAATAACAATTTGAATCATGGGCATTCAGTATCCATATACGTTATTGAATCAGTATCCAAATAAGTTTTTGAATCAGTATCCATACTTTATTGAATCAGTATCCATATACGTTTTTGATTCAGTATAAATATACGTTTTTGAATCAGTATCCATGTGTTATTGAATCAGTATCCAAATACGTTTTTGAATCAGTATCCATACATTTTTGAGTCAGTATCTATATACGTTATTGAATCAGTATCCAAATACGTTTTTGAATCAGTATCCATATACGTTATTGAATCATTATCCAAATACCTTTTTGAATCAGTGTCCATACGTTATTGAATCAGTATCCATATACGTAGTTGACTGTTACATTGATAGTGTTACTTTGACTATCAGTATCCATATAACTTATTGACATTATTCAAATGATTGACATTAATTATATAAGTTATTCACTGAGACATTGCTTAGCCATACAAGTTATTACCCTCCAAGTACATGGCATACACTGAAACATTGCTTAGCCATACAAGTTATTACCATCCAAGTACATGGCATACACTGAGACATTGCTTAGCCATACAAGTTATTGCCATCCACGTACATGGCATACACTGAGACATTGCTTAGCCATACAAGTTATTACCATCCAAGTACATGGCATACACTGAGACATTGCTTAGCCATACAAGTTATTGCCATCCACGTACATGGCATACACTGAGACATTGCTTAGCCATACGTTATTGCCATCCACGTACATGGCATACACTGAGACATTGCTTAGCCATACAAGTTATTACCATCCAAGTACATGGCATACACTGAGACATTGCTTAGCCATACAGGTTATTGCCATCCACGTACATGGCATACACTGAGACATTGCTTAGCCATACAGGTTATTGCCATCCACGTACATTTCATACACTGAGAAGACATTGCTTAGCCATACAGGTTATTGCCATCCAAGTACATGGCATACACTGAGACATTACTTAGTCATACAGGTTATTGCCATCCACGTACATGGCATACACTGAGACATTGCTTAGCCATACAGGTTATTGCCATCCAAGTACATGGCATACACTGAGACATTGCTTAGCCATACAGGTTATTGCCATCCAAGTACATGGCATACACTGAGACATTGCTTAGTCATACAGGTTATTGCCATCCACGTACATGGCATACACTGAGACATTGCTTAGCCATACAAGTTATTACCATCCAAGTACATGGCATACACTGAGACATTGCTTAGCCATACAAGTTATTGCCATCCACGTACATGGCATACACTGAGACATTGCTTAGCCATACGTTATTGCCATCCACGTACATGGCATACACTGAGACATTGCTTAGCCATACAAGTTATTACCATCCAAGTACATGGCATACACTGAGACATTGCTTAGCCATACAGGTTATTGCCATCCACGTACATGGCATACACTGAGACATTGCTTAGCCATACAGGTTATTGCCATCCACGTACATTTCATACACTGAGAAGACATTGCTTAGCCATACAGGTTATTGCCATCCAAGTACATGGCATACACTGAGACATTACTTAGTCATACAGGTTATTGCCATCCACGTACATGGCATACACTGAGACATTGCTTAGCCATACAGGTTATTGCCATCCAAGTACATGGCATACACTGAGACATTGCTTAGCCATACAGGTTATTGCCATCCAAGTACATGGCATACACTGAGACATTGCTTAGTCATACAGGTTATTGCCATCCACGTACATGGCATACACTGAGACATTGCTTAGCCATACAAGTTATTGCCATCCAAGTACATGGCATACACTGAGACATTGCTTAGCCATACAGGTTAATTGCCATCCACGTACATGGCATACACTGAGACATTGCTTAGCCATACAGGTTATTGCCATCCACGTACATTTCATACACTGAGAAGACATTGCCATACGGGATTTTCTCGGCATGTGATTTGTTTCGATCGTCAGTGATTTCGCTGTGTCGCGAGTGATCGCGAGACGGAAAAAGGTGTAGTAACATGGAGAACGGACCCAGTTTTTGGTCGGGATTTATATAAAAATGGTAATGAAAAGTCGGGAAAAAGTCGGGAATTCCATTTGAGAAATCTGGTAGACACCCTGGGTAATTAAATTGACAGGTTATTATGTCATACAGTATAATAACGAAATAAAATTTAACTTAATGTTGTTCAGTACTGATGATTACATTATTTAATATTAATAAATGTAAATTATTAAAAAATATTAATTTTTTAGTTTAATAATATTGAATTATAATGAGTATTCAGTCAAAATGTATCTAGTAAATGGTATAAGTAGTTTTACTGTAGAATCAAATATATGTTCCATTAAGATATCAAATGTGATTTTTAAATTCATTTAAGTAAACCTGTCCTTACAATGTACATCTTATGTTACATTATGAAATAAGTGGTAAGATAAACCTTGAAAAAAGTCAGTAGTCCTGGCTAATAGGTATCTTTGCAATTACAGTAGAACCTTCAAGAGAGAATCCTAGAAGTATAATAAATTACTCCTGTTATTGGGGACTTTTCTTATAAAGTGCTTTGTTATCAAAGTATCCACTAATACTTCATTTTTAAGTATACTTGTTTTAAAGGGTCTCATACTATTTATATTCTACAATATTGATCTGCTTGTAATACAAGAAGTATTTACACTTCTGCTGTGTCAACTAACTTTTAATAAATACATTTTATACCAAGAAAATTTTCAAACAAAAATAGTGCACACTATCCAATTGGAACCACAGCCCTGATTTTTCCAATAAACGTGGTTTTTATGGTGATATTTAAATTAATTAGCTTATTAGACATAAATAATGATAAAAACCATACACGTTTTTTTGCAGCCATTTAATGAAAAACTAAACTATTACCTATTCTATTTACTGTAGTAGAAAGAATAAGATGAGATCTCTGAAAATATCTAAGAAAATTTGCTGTAGGTACTATGAATATGCTGACTCATATTTTATAGAACACATTTACACAGACTTTGCCTAACCCATACTGTGATTTTACAGAAGTTAGTATCAACGATAAATTAGGAATGCACTAATGTGAACTACTCAGTTTGGTTGCGTACCGCCAACACTGTGTGTGTGAGGTAGCGAGATGGTTAGGTGTTCACGTTGAGCATTGGTGTGATACTAGGTTTAAAACTATTTCAATAACCGCAGCATCGTCTTTCATTAGTAGAAAAACCCCTGACATACATGGTCAAAAACCTGCTTAATAAACTGTCTCAAGAATTCAAAAACAAAATTCAGTCCAAGCACTTCAAAAGCAGCCTTGCTAATTTTCTTTTTAAGACAAATCTAATATAGTATAGATCAGTTCTTAACTGATCAGGATTTGTAATAATGAATTTGTTTTTTAACTATAATTTTTGGACTAATCCATTTTCGTCTAAACCACTTTTATTTTATAGTTTTAGTTTTAGTTTATTTTATTCCTTTATAATTCCTTAGTCTTAAGGTATTTGTATATTGACAATGTCACCTGTTTTATAGCATTGCTATATTTGTAAAGGTTATGTGACAATAACGATTTATTTATTTATTTACACTCGTGATTGTGATGCCAAATGTACAGTAGATGTTTAAAATGTAATATCTGTATATTTTAATCAATATATTGTACTAAATATATGTTTTCTCACATAATTAATGTTTAGATTTTAAAATTTGTAATACACTATTTAAGCTTGTTTTCGTCAAATGTATTTCATTTTATAAGTTACCAGATGTATCGGAATGGTCTTAGAGTAGTGCTGTCTTTTTCATATTAAGATTGTATGATTTAAACCCAACTTATATTACTTTGGGCGACTAGGAGCCACATTTACATTTTTATTTAAATAAGTAATGCTCCTAACCTACATTTATCTGTTAATACAACCAGAATAAATTTTAATTTATAATTTAACCTTAATATTTTTGTTTGACAGGAAGCGGATGAGAGCCTCAACTTTGATGAGATGATACTTGAGGCTGCAAAATCCATTGCAGCTGCTACTTCCGCTTTAGTCAAGGCTGCATCATCAGCCCAACGGGAGCTCATTGACAACGGCAAGGTAAATTTGTTCCTAGTTAAAGTCATTTTGCCTCATATTTAGAATAATTCCAAATAACTATACAGCCCGATGTGTAACTCACTGACCAGGTTTTAAAGAGTCTTGGTCCCAAACCACTCAGGAAAATCCCTAAAGGGGCATTTTCAATTTTTAACTCCCTCGAAAATGTTGAATTCCTCACTCATGTCAATCTTATGATAAATACCATTGTAAGTCGCTGACTTTGATATACAGGCCTAAACCTCTTCAAGACAAGCTACACTCTTAATTGACTAAGATTTAAGAAGACATCCCAAATTTGCTGTAAGATACACAAAAGTGCTACTATTTAGTTCTATTTGGCATGTTTAAAACCCCAAAATGTATTTTTTTCTACCATCCCTAGTGAGTAAACAATTAGTCCTCTCCCAAAACAGATATCACCATCAGAGGTTCATTTCTGACGAACTATGATTGTCCGGACCTTGCACCAAATGACTATTTCTTGTTTCCATGATGAAGAAGTGGGAGTGCATCATTTCAATTACAATAGACTGCAGTAAGAAGTGGCAAGCTGGTTAAAGACAAAAGCGGTAGAATTTCACACGAAAGGAATTGTCAAACTCATTTATGCTATGATAAATGCCTAGATCTTAATGGTGACTAGTTGAACAGTAGTATTTAAGTCTGGCTTTCAGATACTATGATAAATGCCTAGATCTTAATGGTGACTATGTTGAACAGTAGTATTTAAGTCTGGCTTTCAACTGTATGTAATACAAAAATTGTCCTATACTTTTTTCATTATTATTCCTAAAAGTAATCTACTTTCTAGATAGCCCTCATATAATGCTTTTCAATTTGTTAGCACATTTCAAGTTTTTGTAACGTTGACGTTTTTGTTTTAATAACTAACTGTATCTTTACAGTAATTTTGACTTTGTCAATGATATCATATACATTATAAAGATTTGTATTATTACTATAAACATGTGTCCAGGTGTCTCGTAGACCTTTGACCAGCTCAGATGATGGCCAATGGTCTGAGGGTCTGATCTCTGCGGCCCGGTTAGTCGCTGCAGCTACTCACTCCCTCGTAGAGTCTGCCAATGCATTGGTACAGGGAGTCAGTTCCGAGGAAAAGCTTGTGTCTAGTGCCAAGCAGGTTGCGTCATCCACAGCTCAGCTCCTCGTGGCGTGTAAAGTCAAGGCAGACCCTGACAGCGACAACACCAAACGACTCCAGGTAAAACTACCCTGTTCTAGACTTGTGTTATTTTTTCCAGTTACTTATTGTTAAGTTTCATGGATAGAGTCTACTGTCCAATTTAAGAATGCAGCATGAAAGATAATAGTTATAAAGACCTTAAAATGTTTACAATAATAATTATTATTCTCACCAACAATTTTTAGTGGTACAAATATTGTTTCAATTACTTCAGGTATTCCAGTTTGTGAATGTATGCATGTGTGTGAATGTTTAAGTGGTCATGATGTGTGTGTATGCGTGTGATGCTCCTTCCGTAGCTACAACCTCTCAAACCGGGTGCAACATTCATAATTATAATGAGGGTTTAGGAATAAACAATGACTATACTATTTATTGTTGTTTAAAGGGTTATTGCGACTAAAGTAAACCTTCTATTACCAACAGTAAACCGTTAACAAAGTGATAATTTGTGTGACTTAAGCTAAAATATAAGTGGATGATAGTTTTATATATTTAAAACAAAAACTCAACCAATTAAACTGAATACGACTTATGGCTATTATTTGTTTTATAGGCTGCAGGTAATGCAGTAAAGCGAGCTACGGACAACCTGGTAAGAGCTGCACAACAAGCCATTCAACAAGAAGAGGAGCGGAGTCTTGTCCTCAATAGGAGAATGGTCGGAGGAATCGCTCAAGAGATCAACGCAAGGTAAACGATTAATAAAATGCCAGTAATGATACCAGTTCCTGACCTAAATCAATTCTCACTTCTTGGTATTTAACTAAATACTAAATCATTCTTCAAATCGTAAAAATTATTTAAACGGCATATTAGTGCTGTAAAAATACGTTTGTTATATACAAATATAAATTTTTGGGTTACGGGTATGTTTGTGATCACAACTAAAGAGTTGGGAGTAGGTAATTTCATAAGCATTGGTGAAATTGTGGCCATTTCCGACTCATAAACAAATTAAAAAGTGAATCATATAAATCCATTCATCAACAGTATTATGTTGATTCTTTGTCACATCAGATCAAGTTAAAAAATTGTCATTTTGTGAAATTATGCTTAAAATTGTGGTAATCGTATGAGATGAATATGATTTCGCATCGATTGTGCGAGATGATTACAATGTCACTGTTATCGCAACTGTTGCTCACGGATGTTGCTGCTATGGTTTTGCCAATATTTTTGAGTTTCGATTTAGACCCATTACAAATTGGGGTCTCAAGAGCAAAACTCTTTTAATATTGCAAAATTCATGCCTTTCCTCACACCTTCGGTTTCTCCAAGGCCTGCAACTCTTCCTTGGTGAAGCCATGTGTGCCAGAGAGAAACCTTCTCCGTAAAATAATTGGCAGATTTTACTCGTTTTTCTTTATTCGTCCTATAAATTGTAGCGGTTAGCTACGAATTAATGATGATTTGTTCGATTGATTGGATGTTACGACATAATCATTCATGTTGGAAATGATGGCTGAACCCTTAAATTTAACCAGAGGCTTACCGCGAACCACAGGCCCAAAGAGATTATTGCTTTTGATGATTGCTAACATTAATTAAACCGTTTCAACTATGGAAATACTACCGGAATGAATATAATAAATTACCCATCAAATGACTGGACACAAGGTGAACTATTAATTATACCTTCCGCAAAGATTCGTGGCGGCTGAGGGATTAGGACGGTCGTTTGGTGTCCCAGCCCCCTAAATTAGCCCTAGCTCGACTGCTCTGGGTTTTGACCATGAGTCACCCACTAGGCTCAATGCATAGTTGGAAGAATTTTTGTATATCACCATAAAGTGTATTAAATAACGCCAGTTTTGTATCCTGCGTCAAATAACAAGAACATTGAGCCCAAACACGAAATAATTGCGACGATATTAAGTATATATTTGGTTTTAAAATAATAGACAGTTTTCGTGTCGTGGTATGCTTAATATCATCACAATTATTTAGTGTTTGAACTCAATGTTCTTGTTATTTTATGCAGGTTACAAAAATGACGTTATTTAATACACATTATGGTGATATACACACATTTAACCAACTATGCATTGAGCCCAGTGGGTGACTCATTGTCAAACCCCAGAGCAGCCGAGTGAGGGCTAATTTAGGGGCTGGGACACCACCCGACCGTCCTAATCCTTCAGCCGCCACGAATCTTTGTGGAAGGTATAAAGTAATATTGCCATTGGAATAGTGACGATGGAAATCAAATTAATGTTTTCAATAAATAGTGAAATAGAAATGAATAATTTTGGTAAAATTTATATTAACTAATACAGAAGAAGTCTGATTATCCGAGGTCCGATTATCCAAACCGCCGGGTTAACCGAGGCAAATACAGTACTGTATATAACAGTTTTTTTTTTTTCAATTTTGTTCCTGGTCCAATGGTAATAAATCGATTGTTGGTATGAGTTGGTAGAGAAATATATTTTTATTTAATCATAAATCACTTATTACTGTAATAATAAACCGTATTCTCCAGTTTCATTACGATGTTTGTCTAATTATAACCTATAATTTTTACCACTGTGTTATCCGAGTTTTTGATTATCCCTGGTAGGCACGGTCCTGTTTAGCTCGGATAGTTGGACTTCTACTGTACAAACACCATACATCTCAAGGGGCCATATGTCCCAAGAATTAGCAAGCCATCTTCTTCGTCTGATGGTTCGGGCACGACAACCGCTGCGTCCATCCACTCATCTGATGTGCGCATGCGCGAGCACATTGTCCTGGGTTGTACAATGGCTTGACTAAACCTATTCAAACCTTCTGTCTGAACATTTGAATAGTTGTGGAGGTAGAGCTCCACAAAATACATTACCTTACAAGCAATATACCAAAAATTAAAATGTACTAATGAAGGTGACTAAATGTTCTTTACAATATAGGTCAGAAGTTCTAAGGATAGAGAGAGAATTGGAAGAAGCTCGCAGTAGACTGACAGCCATTCGTCAAGCCAAATACAAACAGAAAGGTGAAAACAGTCCTTCTGATGGGGAACAGGATGGATTTGACTCATATAACAGGTATTCTAAAATATCTCTAGTACTTTCACACTGACTTGCAATATCTGCAAATAGACCAGCAAGAGTAGTATTGCCCTCCATTACCAATACATATTGAGAGTTTTTAATTTCATTTAACAACTAGTTTTATTTCAAAAGTGGTGTCATCCAATCATCTATATACCTAGACTATTTAGTCAGGACTCAACTTTCTCTAGGTTGCAAAGATAGAGTTTATGGTAGTATTTATAATTTTAGGGTTTTTTTTTGTAAACTGTTTGCTAAATTAAACTGTAAGGTTTTTATAGTTTCCTCTTTCAAACTCCTTTCAAAAATGTATGGTGTCTTTGGCTTTGATTTGTAGATTTTGAAAAAGTGTGTTCAGATGTTTCCTTTTAATTTCCAATTTGTAAGTAGGGTTAGAGTGAGGTTATATCCTCTTGTCTGGTGATGTTTGTTTTGTGTTGTTGCTGGGGTGGTTTTTAGATTTTACAGGTTCTCATAACAGAAGTATTATGTGTTAAAAGGTTTAAATTGGTGATGGTCACCAGAAGTTTCAACTTGTAGAGCAAATCTCAAATCTCAAAATGTAATTGTAAAACTTTTTTACCAACTAAATTAAGGATTACAAAAAGACTGGTAATAATGAACTGTTTGTTATTTAAACAAAACGGAAGAAGTTCAACTCTTCACCCTGCTATGACTAATAGGCTTTAAACCCCCATAAATATTTTTTCTTAACAACAAACACTGAAAAAATTAAACCCATGATACTGACTAACATGAATATGAGATCAGTAGCCTACTTAGTTCTGGATCTCGAAACTTGCCTATGGAATCCCAAAACCTATACTTTTTTAAGTTTTGGTAGTTTTGAGATTTGTTTTTTAAGCTTTTTTTAAAAAAAGCATACATTGATTTTGCAATGTTATTGCAGCAGCAGGCTCGACTCTTCTTACGAGCTTTCCTCTCACCAACACAACGTTTCCCACGAGGGTGTCAATGGCAGCAACGGTCAGGAAGGGTTAGGCAGCAAAATGTATGTTAGCAGTGTGGAAAGTCGTTCCAAAGTGTACCCGATTCCTTCTTCACCTGTCACATCTATCTCTCCTAAGGTAAGCTAAACAAACAATGCCTCTGATTTGAGCACAAGTTCAGTTGGTCCAACATTTTAAATCAAGAACAGATCATAGGACAGACACTCTGTCTCTTTTTTAAATTCCCTTGTACCAAAATCTATGCAATAATTTGACTTACGCTTGAACTTTTTGCAAAACCTTAAATATCATTCTTGTAAAATTACAAGCCATGTCAACATCAAATGTGTACAGTTTATAAACATTAGACTTCACATCTTCCTTATTTTAGGAGTTGTAGTAACCTGATTGTGACTCAAAAAGAAAACCACAAAATATCAAAGAAATTGTATTATATCTGAGATGTACATTACATAATATTTGAAGTTTTATTACAGCAATTGTGTGTTTGAACTAATCAATGTCAACCTGTTTTGTGTTAAGCAGGGATTCACCATGACTACAGTAGAAAGCAGCACGGAGCGCAGTCCATTGTCCACGTTAGTCCACAAATCTTCATCCTCTAGTTTCAACGGTCTGTCCTCACACTCTGAAATGACTCAGTCTCTAGAACAGAAGATGTTCAAACAAACATTTACGTCTTCACAGACCTCAACTACCAAATCCTACCGTGTCAACGAAGGCTAAACTCTACTTTCTTAATATGTAAAGTACCAAAACTTTCCCACTGTACTTTGTGCTTTTCTAAAGCCTTAAAACAAGCTTTATTACTGAGGTTTATTTATTCGTAGCTTATTTTAATCTAATGACAAATTTTAACTATTTAACAGTATTTGGGTTGTGCCTCTTTCTATTTGGGATTTATGATTAATTTGTTCATCATATCTGAGATAGGTTTAAATCTAATAATTAAAGTAATACGTTAAATTGTTGATTCAATCCAACTTCACCATATTAACAACAATATGTTTGATTTATTCTTGTATTTATGTTAAGAATGGAAAATTTTTTAGATTGGGATGTTATAATTTAGTTTTATATAATTTTCTAATTAGTGGGAAAATTTTTTGGAACAAAATTTTCTTTACAAACGACAAAATGGTCTTTTCATATATTAATTCACATACTTTTTTCAGAATGTCAGTATACAAGCATGAGCTGAATTAGTGTGTAATGTCTTGTTCAACATAATAATCACCCCTTATATTTTTGTATTCAACCTTTTAATCTTATTTTATACATTTTAAAATTAGTACTTTTTACAATCAGCTTATGGATGTCATCCATACTGTAAAAACACTCAGCCTCCATTTGTGACCTTATCTTACACAAAGCCTTGTATATTAACTATAGATTTATATAAATTTTGTAAACTTTCTTTGTGTAATATGTTGACACACTGTATAGGGATTTACAGTATGTATTCACTGTTTAGACTTAAGCTGTACTATACGTGTAATATAGTACCATTAGGTGGTGTTATATTGCCTTAAATACAGGACAAATTCATCTTCTACGTTGGAATTTTGGTGCTGTATGAAGCTTATTATATATTGGTGCTTTGAAACGTTTTACAAGCCAAATCATGTACCAAGTAAAATTAATGCCTTCTTGTTGAGTGTATTTATCTATTGTATTATAAATGTTACTAAGTTATTTAGCACCTACAAGCTGAGCATTTGCTTTGTATTCAGTAAGTCTAACATAACCATTTGTTAATTTTCTTAAAATTAAACGCAATGAATTTGTATATGAAGGTGTTAATTAATTGTTTATGCATTTTGGTAGTTTAATTTATTTGAAATGATTGTTTGAACTTAAATTATTTGCCAAAGAAAAACTGCTGCATTTGATGAGCTAGGATTCAAATTTGCAATTCCAAATAAGTCTCGTACCTTAAATCATTTATAAAGTAAAATTAATTGTTTATTACCTTACCTTACCTCCTTGGCCACTCAAACCTAAGAAGGTTTTTGGCCTCGCCAACAAGTTGCCTCCACTGCTGCCGGTCTGCCGCCATGTCAAGTTTACAAAATATATTAATTGTTTATTAATCTATCTATTACACATAAAGTAGTCATAAAAACTTTGATAGTGTTCTTTGAATTAATATAATAATATTTATGTATTTATCTTTATTTGATTAGCGAAATGCTTACTTTAAGTTTATAGAGTTTTTGTTAAGTCTGGAATACTTGTTGTAGTTTAAATGTATATAGTCAGTTTATAATAACTAACAATTTAGATTAAACTTGTAATTATTTGTTTTGAATGTACTTTTGACTCACCATAACATATACAGTTGTATGGTTAAAGTTCAGGTTGTCAATTAGCTATTGGCCAGTTATTTATGGAATAAACAAAGGTAAAATACAGTGCCTTTTTAAGTTGCTTAAGGCGGTGCTTTATTGTAAATTTAGAAGTTAATGTGCATGTTTTGACAATGTTGATAATTTTAAAAGTATATTTTTTATGCAATTTATTGTGAGGGCATATTTTACAAACTATATACAGTACAATTGTACAATTATATACAGTAGAAACTTGATAGCAAGTCATGTGAATAATCAAATAAAATTTGTTATAAAGGTAGGATTTTTATTGAAGTTTGCAATACCATGTAATTAGGGGAAACACAAAATCAAGGGTATTAAAAAATTACACTTGTTATCAAGCGTGACTTGCTTTTAAGTTTCCTCTGTATATTTAATTTCAGTTAAAGTATCAAATAATGTTACTGGTGTAACGTTTTGATAAATAATATTACAGTTGTATTATGCATGATGAATTATCAATTTTGTGATTTCTAGTCGGTGGTGAATCAGAGTTCTTGAGCAAAATCAACTTTAAAATTTAAATGTCTGTTAATTGTTATGACAACTCAGTTACTATTTCAACTTCCAAATAGTTTATTGGTGTTTTAATGATTAGTTAACGTAATCAATCTCTGTTTTCTGGAATAAGAAAGAAGATTATCTGAACGTATTATTCTTGTAGCCAACCTAAGTGAACTACATACATAGGCCTTAAATAAAGAAAACAAAATACATACTTGGCAAAATAAAACAGATCAGATTAAATAATCTGTGTAGATTGTAATAGATAAAAAATAGTCTTGTATGTCACTACTGATAGTTTTAAAATTATATTAATGCAATTAAAATAATGCCTATTCCTCAAACTGATAGTGTTTTGTTAACACTTTAACAATTAACATTCAAATTTATGAATATAATTTCCAATAACATGCTGTGTTTTTTTCTCCCTAAGCCCACTTATAAGTCTTTAATCATGTACTGGCTGCTAATTCAATATAGGAGTGATATATTTTAAATCGTTCAATACAGATTTAATTATCAGGCACTGGCATGATAGGCATAAGTATTAGAGATATTCAGTTTACTAAAGCTACAGCTTATGCAGATTACATAATGTACTTGACTACGTAAATATGAGAGAATAGATGGTACACTCCTGATTAACCGAGGTTGTTGGGACTGAGACTACTTCGATTACCAAGAATCTCGTATAACACGGAGGCCCCTTAGATTTTGAAAATGGGGGTTATGGTACCACGTTTGAGGTACCAAATTGTAAGGTGAGTAAAACGTATTGTGAATAAACAAACACCAGAACTTAGCCATTTACATCCATAATAGCCTACACCTGTGTTAGCCATAAACCAAACTATGTGCTAATTAACATAGTCCTAGACGCAAATACAATTAAGTATAAACACATACTCCCACAATATATTGATTATACAAAGACTCAAAATATAATAAAAAACCCTGACTAGTTTATTTTACACTCCGACACGATCGACACCATTTCACAAGTAAATATCTAACGCCTACAACAACATGACCCCCAAACGAGTGTGGACATATGACGACTAGACCAACCAATTTAATTTCGATCACCTTTGGGCTTGTACTTTAATTCACAGCAAATAGCGTGTAAGTTTCAACCAAACTTTAATGGGAAGATAGAAATAAGCTAAGAATATTCGTTCGTAAGCTTTCGACCAGGTAACATCACTGTGACACTACCTTTGCATCTCATACACGTCGATCGTCGTTAATTTATTTCAAAGGTTAGCTATAATAGTTATTCTATTTTCACGTTTTATGTTCATTTCCATACAACACACACATTCTCGTTCTGCCACCAATTTTAGTTGCTTTTAATTCCAACTTAAAATATCTATATATTATAACTAAATTTTGCCAACTTAATTCTATTTAATCTGTTCTACCCGACACTTCTGCCTACCAGTGACTAGCGGTGAACCTTCGATTAAATTAAAATAGTTAATCAATTAAAATTGTGAAACGGCTTTGTATCGACCCGTGTTATCGGCTCCTTTTGAGCACTCCAAGGAAGAAATTTGAGTGTGGCTGGTTCTAGGGGTAGGCCTTGCCTGTTCAGTGTTCAGTGAATACAATTTTATTCCCCCTCAGAATTCAAATTTTTGGCGCCTGAACAGGGACACATTTCTGGCTCCCCCTTTATGTTACTCACGTTTTCCCGTTAGGAAGTCAAATACTTCTAAAATGTATGTTTTAATAATACGTTGTGTACATATTGTAAAATATATGTTTTTAACAATACAGAGAAGTGAATAAAAATTGATGAAATTAAATTTTAATGCAAACCTTAATTAATAAGGTAGTGGTAGTGAGACAAACAGTAAGACAAATAATGATGTGTCAAAACTGAATTTCAAATCTCAAAACCATCCAAAGTTTTGGTTTTGAGATTTTGTAAGTTGTGATTTTGAACCTGCTGACTGGAGGATTGGTATCATAATTATTGTTTATTACACTGTTTTCAAACAAGCTGGCTGCAATCACAGAAAACGTACTACTATAACCCAGAATGCCAACCGCATGGTAAAAAGCATTAAGCGGATTGACAGGCAAAGCTCTCTCAAACCGCTTAATGCTTTTTACCATGCGGTTGGCATTCTGGGTTATAGTAGTACGTTTTCTGTGCTGCAATGGAGCAAACCACAGATCACCACTAACACTTAACACTGATGAAACTTGTAACGTAACGTGGTATGTGTTTGCAATACTTACTTGATACTTGTGCCCTTAATCCTTGACCAACGTCTGATAGATTGTGTCAAAGGCACAACTATTTAAATATTGATTAAAACTAAATATTTACAAACTTCTTGAAAAAAAAACACACTTAAAACCTTTTTTTTTATTGGACTGTGGGGATTTGATATCCTAACCTACTGGAGTGTTGTTTTCAACTCTTTCAGTGGAGCTTCCTTTAATTCCTCTAAATGAAATGAAATGCTTTATTTATTGTGCTATTGTGCCTAATCATAAAAAAAAGAAAAACAAAACAATCAAGATGGCAACTAAAATAGCTAAAACTAAAACTCACCAAAGTACCTACTCTTCATGTTTATACAGGCAAGCCTGGGTTAGAGTAGTTTTTAAAACATGTTTAAATTTTGAAACACACAGGTTTTTGATGGATGCAGGCAAGAAATTGTACATTTTAACACCTTGGTACTCAAAACTATTTTGAGTGGCTGTATACTTATGCCTTAGTGTAGACAGATTATCTTTAGATCTAGTACAATAGTTGTGAACATCAGATATCTTTTCAAATTGAGAAATGTTTTCTTTTACATACAACAAACTTGCCAAAACATACAAGGATGGAAATGTGAGAATGTTAAGACCCACGAAAAGGGGCTTACAATGTGTTCTTCTATTCACACTACAAATTAACCTCACCGCCTTCTTTTGTAAAGTAAAAAGTACCATTACCATAGGACAAATAGCTATGAATGTGGCCATATATACATCATCATATAAGGACATCATCTGAAACAGTGGACCTAAGTACTCTTATCATAAATATGCCTTTTACAATTTTAGATGCTACAAAATCTACATGTGAAAACCAGAAAACCACTTCAAGTTTGACTGAAAATGAAAAACCAAAAACTTCAGAGTGTTTACATCAATACCGTTACTGATAAGACTAATAGTCAGGTCCTGAGTCTTATCAGCATTAATACATAACTTGTTTGCATTACACCAGTCTTAATAACAGTAGACTTTGTGTCCAATGTGTCTGTAACTAATTCAAAGAGTTACCCCGTACACACACAAGGCCAAGTCATCAGCAAAAAGAAAGCTTTTTACAGATAAGTCATTAATATTACAAGGTAAGTCATTTATATACAGTATAAACAGGGTAGAACCCAATATAGAGCCTTGGGGCACTCGAACAGGGAACAGGGCTAGAATAAGTGCCATTTAGATAGACTTTTTGCCATCTGTCACTAAGATCAGATTGAAAAAACCTAACCAAAACAGCATCAAGGTTATAGCAAGAAAGCTTATTCACAAGGAGATCATGAGCCACTGTGTCAAAGGCCTTAGACATGTCGTACGATCTAAACACTATACCACTTTTGGCCTCTAAACTTTGAAAGCAATTTGATATCAGTGCCTGGGTTTGCTTGGACAGTGCTGTGTTTGGGCCTAAAGCCAAACTGACTACTTGCTAAAAGGTTACTATCCTCAAGATACTGAGAAAATCTACGATGTACGAGATGTTCCAAGACCTTCGACACTGCAGGGATAATAGATATAGGCCTATAGTTAGCAATAACATTTTTAGGCCCTTTTTTATGGACTGGTATAACCTTTGAAATCTTGAACTTGTTTGGGTAGCAGCCTTGTGTTATACAAAGATTAAATAGGTAAGTCAAAACTTCACTTATGTAACTAGAAGCTAACTTCAAGATGGGGACATTAATTCCGTAAATATCTAAACAAGAGCTATTGTTGAGACTGTTGATGGCTGCATACACCTCTTCTACAGTAAATAGCGCAAGCCTAAAAGCATGTCGTCCTCAATAGTCGGAAGAGCTTGCAAGAGCCCAAGAGGTCAAATTACTTAGATATTGCTCAGGACCATTTGAAGAGGCGGGAACATTACTTCTCAGGTTTTCAACACAGTCGACAAAGTAGGAGTTCAGGGTCGACTAATGAGTAGAGGGGTCTAGTAATCAGATGGCCCTGCAGTTCTGCCCTGAACTTCGCACTGTCCCAGTGGCGGATCTAGAGGGGGGGGGGCTACCGCCCCCCTCGGGTATACATATATATATTTTTTTTTATTGTATGTAATACAGTAGTGCATACACATTGCGTAAAATAATTTGTCACACTAACTTTGGACAAAGAAATTGTATAAAACTGCCATTTTTGAGACTTAGCTTATACATTTTTTGGGGGGTACCCCCGAACACCCCAGACCGCAAGGTCCCCCCCCCTTGTGACTGTTCTAGATCCGCTACTGCACTGTCCAACTCTCTTACTCTTTTTGGCAGGGTACCTATCAAAGATTTGTATTACTGAGCGAGGGTAGCTTCTAGCTTTTGATGGAGTGGCTAAGCCCTACACCACAGCAGATCGAGCTCTCGGGCCTTCCGAGTCTTATAGCTATGCTGGCTTTCCCTCATTTCAAAATGGAGGAGGTTATCTTTCAGGGGTAGCAGACTGCTTAGAAAAAATATTGGCTGTGCACTGTTAGTATTCCTAACGCCATGAAGAGAGGCCTGCAGTGTTCGTCGTTGTCTGAGGATGTTATAATTCTTACGGTCCTCTTCTGTAAGAGGAGAATGTCCTGAGTTAGTGGTGCGTGTCCCCACATCGCTATGCCATAGGTGAGATGGCTATGGAATAAACCGTGATATACATTTAGTATAGGGCTTCATGATGATATGAGATATAGTATCGCGAAGATATAGTACTCTGGAAAGTTTAGTACATATTATCTATGTGTGTATTCCAACTTAGCTTGGGTCCAGCCAAAACCCAAGAAGTTTCACGGCTTCGTCTTTTTGTATATCAAGCTTCAGGGTACATAGCAGCGATTGGGTTTTGTCTTCGTTTAGCTTGAATCGACTAAAAAAATACTATGCATGGACATAAATTTATCAGAATATGTATCATTAATGTACTTACTGTACATTAACTTACAAACGACACAAACTTACAATACAATACAGCTTCATATTGATAAAAGGTAAACAAAAATTAATATTAACCACTAAATGTTTGAATTGATGTCGATGTTCATGATGAATTAGTGACAGGAGTTTAAGTTTAGTGTTTCTTTATCAACAATTATGTTTTAATCTGGCAACCATAAGGTAAACCAATTTATTAATTATTCGTTCTTGAAGCTGGAATAATACACAAATTATAAAATATGTTAGCGTGAGTGATGGTCGCGTAATACAACAGTGCTAACGTCTGAAGGACTGAAGCGTAATATTTGTACGTTTGTTGCCGTTGGGTTGAATTCTCAGCTATTTTTAGCTGGTAAGGTCACTACACGCCCCTCTTTACAACTCCCACCCCCCACACACAGAAGGACTGAAAGCTTACGTTGAATCATCGGCTGTTATCTGTAGTTAAAGGTGGCCGTGGTTGTAAAACGTTGAATCGTCGGCTATTACAAGGTCACTGTGCATCCCTCTCCGAAGCCCCCACAAAAAATTTAACTTCGTCTTACTTCTATACGTTGTCTATTGTTTACATTTAACAAAGTTAATATTTTGCTCTTGTAACCATTGCATATATTTACAACTATCCCAGCTATTTTGTTAAATCAGCCATCTTATCATTTGGACATTTTGTTATATTAACTGAAAAAATGAGATTTGTAAATAAAATAAATGAATAAATATTCAGTGATGGATGTAATCCACAACCGCATTCACAGCCCAGATAATATACAAATAATGGGTACCATTGGCTTTGCATAGTGTAAGCGGAGGGGAGCACTCTTAATCTATGGTTGTGGTATTGTACGTCAAACTCAAACTCTCTATTACTCCAAGGCCTGTGGATAGATTGTGTTTTGTATGTGCTTTTTGGATGTGAAGAAAGAAGAAAAGAAAACATAATTGTCTTGTTGGTGTTGTTGTTGTTGGTTGAAGTGAAGTGAAGAAGTTTTGATAGTGATGGGAGAATCGAATACTTTAAAGAATCGAATACAGTGAATTCGTAGCCTCCCCTGTATTCGAATACTTTTACGAATACTTGTATTCGAACACCTTTGAGTATGCAAAGCATGGAAAATGAGTGTGTAATTCTTTTTTCATAATGCAACCGTTCTTTTGGCCACTGTTATTTCGTTTTACAGTAATTAATTCATTAATATAATTTATTCGATGTAATTTTAAATTATATGATTTTTAAAAGGTACATTTATTTTGACTTATAATTATTTCATGGTCAGTTACAGTCTTATTAATGTATTATTTTCTATTATATTAACTAATTAATATCTTTAATAATATGTCTTATTCATTTGTATGGATAATTTACATCAGATATGCATGTTATTTTGCCATGTAACTATATAAATCGGTTGTAGTTATAATAAATTCTACATACTCAATTGCCCTCTACCAGTAGTAACCTAATATTTTAAATATCCAATATATTCTAAATGTTAACGATTAATAATAATCTTATGTAAATTATGGGGCCAATGGTAAAATTATAACGAATAGATGAAAACAAATGCTGCAGTAAAAACATTAAATAGGTACTCTTACGAATGCTACGGATTCGTAAGATATTCAAAAGGGAATTCAGTAGTTAAAAAAGTGTTGAATACATTTTTGAATCCCCCAAATTCGCTTTCTAGATTCAAGAAATCCTGCAAAATCTGAGGTCAAGAGTATTCACAAAAAAGTATTCGTACGAATCTGAAGTATTCGAATCTACGAATACTCGGGCTGTATTCGAATACTATTCGATTCTGTATTCGATTCTCCCATCACTAAGTTTTGACTGAGACTGAGAAATTAATGGCGCCTTGTAGTTGTGTAACGGTTAGAAATTTTCAAGTTTTTGTTGGTGGATTTAGTTAATAATATAATGACGTCTGGTATTGGTGTTAATCTACGTGTCACGGGGCACTGTAGTCAAGGGGGTAGAAAATATATGGAGGATATGTTTTCAGTTGCATACCAGCAAACAGTTAATCTAAAAGATTTGGAATATGCATTTTTCGGGATATTTGATGGCCATGGAGGGCCTCAAGCAGCCAGATTTGCCAAAGAACATTTATTAGATTCAATTGTCAGTCAAAATCACTTTTGGTCTGGCAATGATGAAGATGTGCTAAGAGCAATCCGTGATGGATATCTTGCCACACACTATTCAATGTGGAAAGACTTGGGTAAGTTTTTAAAAAATTGAATTGAGGTTATGTTGTTGTGCCCTACATTTAAAGTTTCAAGGATTTGTTTATCTGTTATAAGGTTATTGTTATTTTAGTAAGTGTTTTAAAGGTGTATGAATTCTAAACTCTAATGTATTAAACAAGTTAGACTTTATACAGCAATCCGCTTTATTGTTGCTCTTATAGGCTCTAAGTTAATTGCCCCCATTAAATTTGTGATAGGTCTAGGCCTACCGTGTTTATTAGTGGGCCCGGGCCCAGGGGTTCAAGAGTTTTTTTTTTTTATTTGTTGGGAGCGCAAGAAAACATTTTAACAGTAGATAATATTTTACATCGCACCTCAGTTGAATCCTCATCACTCTCTGTTTCCACTCATGACACATCCCTGCCAATGCCTGCATGTCGCTATTTATTCCACCTTATCTTAATTTGTTCACCAATGTCAGTTCTCTTTGTTCAATCGGGCTAGAAACATAGCCTATTAACTTAGTGTATCAGTTGGCTAAGTTTAGAGAACATAGTTAGCCTATGATCGTGTTGTTGCTTAGGCCTGTGATTTTATTTATGTAAGATGAGATCCATCATTTTTTAATCAAATGCCTTTACTGTCAAATGCGTTTGATAGGCTATAGTCACCATAGTCTGGTTTAGTCAGTCCCGGGCACCGCAGGAGGTTAGTTGCAGGTTTCATGCCAAGGCATGGGTCACGTATCACTAAAGCTGCCGTATCTCAGTTAATATTCGTCCAATCTTAAAGATTATTATGTCAATCGATTTGTAATTAAAACGCCTTAAATAAGTTATCCATCCTTGTAAAACTTTTTTAAAATCAATGGTTTTTGAATTAGGCCTATTTAAGAAACAAAATCATAAATGGTTGCCATTTTGTTTAATGAATTTGGAAAATTGTCATAATTTTTTTTTGTAAGTAGCAGCTTTGTCCACTCGGGGAAATGGAGAACCGGCCACCTCTGGCCTTAATTATCATGTAGAAGTTTGGTTACTGTAGGTTAGGTTAAAGATTTTATATAAATATGGCCCCTGAATTACGACCAGTGGCCAGGGCCCCTAGACATTCTTCAACTTGTCATAAATGTTTGTGCAAAGTTTCAATAGGCCTATCCTATGTTTAACCACCTTTCAGACATAAATTAATAAGTGAAAAAACCAAATGGCGGTTCTAGAACCTTGTCAAGGAGGGGTCTTGGGGGTTGTGGAGCACCCCCCAATAAAGCGAGGGGGGGGGGGAAATTTTGAATTTTCAAAGCAATTTTTAACACCCTACAACTGTGACCAATTATCCATAAACTCCCATTTCACCAGTTGTTTGTCATGAGCAAGCAGACATTTAAAAAATTAAACTATGAATTTCAAAACACACTGTAGACTACGGCCATATCCTCCTAAAAGCCGTTTGGTGACTTTCTAAAGCAATTTTTAACGTCTAGAACTGTTTGCAAATCCTCCCATTTCCCCATTTATTTGTCATGAACAAGTAGACATTTTTAAAACTAACTATGATGATTGCATTCATAAATCTCAAAACAATTATAGGCTACGGCCATATCCACCTAAAAAATGTTTACTGACTTTCTAAAGCCATTATTAATGTCTACATCTGTGTCCAACTGTCCAAAAAACAGACATTTAACAGTATTAAAAAGTAGACATTTAAAAAATTTAACTAGGCTATGACAAACTTGCATTCATGAATTTCAAAACATAGGCCTACTGTAGACTACGAAGCCATATATCACCTAAAAGCCGTTTGGTGACTTTATAAAGCCATTTTAAACATCTATAACTGTGTCCAATTGTCCAAAAACCTCCCATTTCACCTGTTATGTCATGCAAGCAAGTTGACACGTTTTTTCTCCATTTCATAGATCTGTCACAATATGTTAGGCATAGTATCAAATTCAGTAATAGCATTGACTACCAGTATATAAACTTATAAACTTAAACACAATTGTTTATATAGTCAATGAGGCTACTGGTGCTACCGCTGATGCCTTAGTACGTTAGTAACAGAGAATTTGACAACTAGGAACATGAAATCAGCTATTTCCCCGTCCTTGCTGTCGCGGTTGCTCGCGTAGCATGACAACAGCTGACTGCTGTAAAAATTGGATGAGGCCTATGACTTTCCATAGTGTAATATTGTTTTATTCGTTGTGCTATTGCCCCACAAAGTTTATATATGTGGTACTTACTACTCCTGCCGCCGCTTATTTAGTATAATAAAAACTATATTGATGTCTGTTTTATAACAATTTGTGTTTTATGGACAAAATGTGTGTTAACATTTTTTTCAGGGTCCAAGGGGGGGGGCTTTAGCCCCTGTAGCCCTCCCCCCCCCCTTGGAACCGCCACTGAATGGCGACTATGTGAGTAACTAAGGACTTCCAGACAATTTAAATATGATATTTAGATATGTTTCTTACCCAAGAACAATGCCCTAAAATATTGGTAGAGAGTTCTGGGACATCATGTGGTATCTCCTTGTCAACACATAGTTTCTGATGATTAAAATATGTAGGCCTACTGTACATTTCAGAAAAATGGCCAAAAACAACCACTGGGCTTCCAAGCACATCAGGCTCTACGGCAACAGTTGCTTTCATTATGAGGGGCAAACTGTTCATAGGTCATGTGGGGGATACAGCCATTGTTCTGGGATACCAGGAAGATGGTGAGTATCTGAATTTCTAGTTATATTATCCTCCATAACCTTCCACTGGTGGTAGCACCTCCCCCTGTCCCTCTTACACTCATTGTAGCTTAACACGTTCACTGCAGATGACGAGTAATCTAGTCACCGCTACTGCTTTCCAGTGGCGCGACAAGTATACTCGTCAAAGCGCCGTTTACAAACTATTGTTCTAATGCGAGGTTAGCCCCTGCCGTGAGACGTTGTTTCACTTGTCGCTTATTGTGCCAGTGTTGTACTTCAATCTGGTATAAGTTATAGTTCGTTTACTGATCCGATTATTTTATAGGTGGTAGGGGCAGTTACAAATTTATTGTACTGTGTGGTTTTAGGCTTGGATCTAATGACATGAAATTGAATAATGATTATGAATGTTATAATTATAATTAAAACAGGGTGTCCACATTCTGGAAAGTCAGGGATAGTCATGGAAAAAAATTTTGGTCATGGAAAGTCAGGGAAATAGGCAAGAAGTCATGGAAAGTCATGGAAATTTCCAATTATGGATGGATTTGAGGGGACCATTCAATGCTCTAGTCAGCTGTAACCCGGACTGTTGTAGCATTTTTCAGGATTTTTCAAAGATGTTCGACAATTCAATTTATTACAGTTGTATTATTTTACGAGTTTTCGGTTTGTTTTAGTTTATTGTTGTACCTATTGTACTCCATTGTTATCTGTTATTACATATTTCAGTATTTTCTGCAAAATAACACGTCCAGTCAGTATTATTTATGTGTGTATATTATATTATAATTTGCGTGTAAAGTTCGTGAGTCATGGAAATCAATGGTAAATGGTCATGGATAGTCATGGAAAGTCATGGAAATTGATGACAAATTTTTTGTGGACACCCTGTTAAAATGATTACTGTAGCATTGTGGAAGGAACCTAACCTCAAAATTGTGCTTGACCGCTTTTTTGCTGTATTTATTGATGGTGTATCCGGGTAATTCATCCCTGCTTTTTACTTCCATTTGTCTATACTGAAAGCCGGCTAGCAGTATTGTTTAGTGCTGCTATCAATTGGGGTCTTGTAAAACTACGTCCACAACAACTGGGACGCAGTATATGCCTCTCATTTGGATGAAACTAAATTTAAACGTTTTCACACACTCGTCCACGCAGCACACTAGATGTTTGCGCCACCGGCTGCGGTCAACCATTGCGCAGCCGCATTGAACGTGTTAAGTGTTGTGATATCAAGAACATCCGCTGTACTATTGGTTTTTGTTTGACCTGAACAAATCTATATATATATATTTTTTCAGTTTAACTCAACATTTGCCTAGCCTATGTTTTTGACTACTGTGTAGTTAGCCTACTCTAGCCTTATAAAACTAGGTAGCCTATTCAAACGTAGTAATTTAATAACTTGCATCGTGTAATTTATGCATAAGCCAATGTTACTTCATTAAAATTGTGAATGTGTATGTTAAATTACTAAGGATAAAGGATGAAGATAAATGTCTCTATATTAGAAATATTGTTCTATTAAAAGTTGTAAATTCATTTCAAATCATTAATATAAGTATTTTCTTAAAGTCAACGATTGTCTGTAAATTGAAGTCCCCATGAGGTCCTGTCCAAGCAAGCTAGTTTAAATTTGAGACCAACACTGTTATTTATACTTCATTCACTACTATTCTAACCTTACTGGTTCCCACCTGGTGATTGGTCTTCTCATTGTAGCTAAAAACCAAGTGATGAAAAAATTACCAATATTTTATTGTTCCTTTATATCTCGAAAGCTATGTAAAATTATATGTGTCATTAATGGAATATTAACATTTAGCGGTTTGGTCCATAGTCTGACATTGTGTCATTCACAGTGTTTTTATCATAGCTATACATCGACTTCAAACTCGATAGTTGATGTGTTGAATATCAGATATCGAGTAATTGATACGTCTCACTTTTAGTCTGTTTCAAATCATTTTTCAAGATTTCAAGAAACAAATATCAGATTATTGTTGTCAGCTGGCCAGCTATAGAGTCTGATCACCATTTTTGCTAACCTTTGTTGTGTTTTTAGTACGTTGTGGTGTATTTTATACGTGTTTGCGTAGTTTTCAAAAAGAATATTATTTAAATTTAGTTTAAAATAAGTTGTTATGATAAGTTTTTGAAACAAGTAAAACTGGTGAATACGCCTAGACGTAGACAACAAGTTGGAACCAACCTAACATTCAAATTATTCCAATTTTTATTTGAAAATTTTTTATTTATTTTTTGTTAGCCTATGTAGTTTTATTCTGGCTTTAAAATAATCTGTTTCTTATACATAAAGCACTGTGAAATTAGTATTCAAGTTTTTATCAGGCAGTGATTCTGTGGGTGTGTGATAGTGAAAGTGGGAAACTCAGACACTGGATACCTTTTGCTTTCTGTAAGTTATAAATTTTATTTTTATTATTTTTATTTTTACAGCTAATAATTTTTAATATTATGTTTCTAAAATACTTTTTTTAAATTACTAGGATGCTATAAGGAATTTAAAGAGCAGAGGAAATATAAAAATAAAACTGACACTTCTCAGGCTAACCAAAATGATTTTTTGAGTTAGCCTATTTTGTTTTATTTTTGTACATACAAATAAATATTTTACTAAACCTTTTGTGTCATACTTTTCACTGAATTACTAGTAATAACATATCAAATAAGTTAAACAAACATTTAGCATACTTTGAAAGTATCAGAGATGTATCTAAATATAGGTTATTTATCCTATAATATAGGACCTGGTGCAACAGTATACCGCCATTTAAAAATACCTCAAAAGTTTAAGTAATCAACTGCTTCTTTGAAAACCATTCTTTTAAACCACCTTGGAACTAGATTTTTATTTCAGACTACTAGTACTGTACTGTGATTTTTGCAATTGACTAAATAATGTGTTGATTTGTAGGAGTCAAAGAATGGAAAGCCAAGGTGTTGACTAAAGATCACAAACCTGAAAGCTTGGAAGAGAAACAACGAATAGAACAATCTGGGGGCAAAGTGGTCAATAAGTCTGGAGTCCCGCGGGTGGTGTGGAATCGTCCCAGGCTAGGACACCAAGGCCCGGTGCGTCGTTCCACGCCCATCGACGAGATCCCATTCTTAGCCGTAGCACGTTCCCTCGGTTAGTTTGGTGGTTTCAATGCTTTCGATTATTATATAGTTTTACCTTGGTATTGTAAACCTCTTGACCTTTGGATATCGGACTGTGGATCACTTTGTTTTTATTTTTAATATTGCTCTGTGTGAAAAATTTAATTTCAACGCAAAGTTATTGTTTCTGATTAAGGAAATATGTTATTACATTTCACATTTAAGGGGGTACCATTTCAACTTCTCTGCAACTATTTCCCTCCTAATGTATTATCTACTAAACAAATGTATTTCCTAGAGTCACTTTTAAGAATAGTTTAAAAAAATTCTCTAACCAAGCAGAGGTTAAAAACACCTACCATAACTGAACTGTAAAACTGGCTTCAAATAGCCTAAGTAAATATTTTTTAAACTTTTTTCAAACCTATGCTAAAATCTAGGTTAAAAACTATTTTTTCGAATATGCTCAAAACCAGGTTTAGAAACTCATTAGGAAACTTGTTATGAATACACAGAGGTTAAAAGTAGAAAACATTACCTTCAAACATACTCTTAAAAAAGTAGTGGTTAAAACACATGCAGTGACTTTATGATCAAAGATGCCCTAATTGAAATAAAGAGTGATTAAAATCACAAACACAACATGCTGAAAACATACCCAAATTGAAAAACATATAGTCACTTTGAAATTAGTTATTTGCTTTATTTTAGTTAATTCCTTCAACAAATCAAAAATACTGAGTGTTCTACTACCAACATAATCATGTGATCCTTTCTGCAGCCATCTGATTGGCTCATTTGAATTGTTTGTGTCTGCTTTAGGAGATTTCTGGAGTTACAACTCAGCCCTAGATCAGTTTGTGGTGAGCCCGGAGCCAGATGTGTTTGTTTGCCCAGTGGATGTCTCTAAGTTCCGATGCCTCGTGCTGGGGACTGACGGACTGTGGAACATGATGACTCCTGAGCGAGCTGTGGCCATAGTCCAGGCTACTGAGATCAACAATGAGAAGCATGTTATCTACGGACGCAAGGACCAATATGTGAGTATTCGTTACAGGGTGTTTCTAAATAGTTTCAAAGTTTTAAAATGTTGAAAATTCTAACTAGGCTATGGCCTTATTTAGTGATTTGCTGCACTCTCATGGAGAAGTACCAACTAGCTACAGTAGACTCCCTCTAATCCGTACACCTTTTAACCAGACATTGGTTTAACCGGACTACACTCGGCGGAAAATACATCTCTTTTACCGGACAATTTTTATCAGCACGTTGGTTGAACCGGACTAAATCGGCAGGAAATGGGCGATACTGAAACGACTGTTCTCGTGGGAAAGATTTGAGACCAGTGATCACATGTCTAAATACAATGCTCTCCTAAATTTAAGTCGAATACCACAGTAAACGGTCCGTTTCAACGAGTTTTTGGGGACGTCGGTTTAACCAGAAAAACCGTTATCCGGACTGGCCTTGGTCCCGAGGAGTACGGATAGGAGAGAGTCTACTGTATGTTTGTTAGTGTTTCATAAAGTCAAATTCTCATTCAATAAAAATAAGAACCATCGGTAGGCCTACCTAGTTAAAAAAATAATAAATTTGTTGCATTTAGTGAAAAGTCTCATTCAATCAAAAGATAAAGCTTCTAATTTTAACATGTGTAGCCTCTGGATCACTTATTTTACAAATAAAAAGTTAAATACTTGTAGTACTGTGTAGCCGGCAAAAGATGTCGATGTCGATGGTTGGCCTTGTGGGAGTATTATCGCTACTATACAGATTAATTATACTTATCTCTCTGATCACACACTTTTTAGTACAAACAAGTTTGCCTCATCAATGACTGTCCAATCGTCATGGCGGAAGTGTTGTTTAGCTACTCGTTGCAATAATAAAGTCTAAAAAGGGTGCTGCAGTTAAAAACCCCCTGGTTGTGAGGTCCGGTCTTTAATACGGGGTTTCTTGGCCAAAAATTTTAAACCTATAGAAATTTACATTTAAGAGTGTGAAGTGTAAGGAAACAACATATTAAATGAAAGCTCTGTCCGAAAATAGTGCATTCAGTTCTAAAATGGCCAAACACAAATTAATGTCCAAAAATGTTGTTTTTGCATGATAATGCCCGACCTCACTCAATATATCTCTTTCATTCGGTCAAATGAGAGGTTTTGCAAAAGTGCCTCAATTTGTTTTGCGACAATGTAGACAAGCAGCATTTTGGTTGCTCTTATTAATGTATATAATAAGACTATAATAGACTAGAATTTCCTTGTATGATCTTTTTATTTCATTCCAACGTATCTTACTTTCTGAATAACTCTCCTATTTTATATATGATGAGTCTTAAGTTCCCTTCACTGCATCTTACTGTATGAGCTTCTAGTGAAAATAAATTGAATTTATTCTCACCAAAGTTTTTTACTTTTTTCTGTTTTTTTTTTTTTTAGAACAAGGACTGGATGAACCCCAGCAAGACCTTAGTAGACAAAGCTCTCGAGAGATGGTGCATGACAAAGCTACGAGCAGACAACACCAGTGTGGTGACATTACTACTAGATCCTCCAGGCCCTCCTCGAGCCCAGGTACGCTACTACTTAGTAAAAACAACAACAAAATTGGGTTTGTGGACGATCAAAGAGTGACAAACATCGAAACTGTTCTGATGAATAGTTGTGTTAAATCAAATACATTCATTTCAGTGAACAGAGCATCCGACGAATATTGCCTACCCTTGCCAAGTGCCGCTTTTATGATTGCCTTTTGTGTTACAAAGAGAGGTTGTAGAATATTGCTGTAAGCACCGCCCCAGGTAATTATCCCCCCTCAAGCAGCGACTGTACATAAGCAAAATATGCATTTTTAATTTAATCTATTTCAAGGAAATGGTGCAGTTGGCGAAAAGCAAAAATCAGTTTTCTTAACTTTTTGTTTAAGTATGACACGTGATCTGCCCATGACAATTTTGAATCAAACACAACTCCAAGATATTTATAATTTTGAACTCGATTTATCACCGGGCAGGCACAATTATTTACGATTTCATGACCACATGAATGAATTTTTATTTTGTTGCGAAGTGTGTCACCTCGAGCTCTTAAGGAGATTGGAATAAATTTTGTTTTAGTGACATTGAGCGTTAACATATTCTGATCAAACCATTTTTTGATTTTTGACACGCCTCTTTCGGCATTGGCAAAAGCTGAGTCCCAAGTTTCGCCTTGAAATAAAACTAAGGTGTCGTCAGCAAAAAGGTAAAAATCACTTTTAATATTTAATTTCACAAGATTGTTAATGTAAATTTAGAATTGTAGAGGCCCTAACGTGCTACCTTGGACCACCCTACATTACCAAGTCTACATTACCAAGTCTACACCATTACAAAGTCTACATTACCAAGATTTCCATTGATTCCATTAATATTTACAAACTGCTTTCTATTATCAAAATAAGATCGGGACCATTGCAGAGCTACACCTTTAACACCTATATCAGTTCTAATTTTTTTTAAAGGAGCGATCTACCAACTGAGTCGAAAGCCTTGGCCAAGTCAAAAAATACCAGAATAACACGCCTGCCTCTACTGATGGCCAAATTTATATCTTTATTAACCTCGAACAATGCATCTGTGATGTTTTTTTATTTTCTAAAACCAAACTGGTGGTGTGTTAAAATATCGTGCTGATTAAGGTAATGAAAAACTTGATCTTTGATAATTTTTTCTAAAATCTTAGTGAACACACTTAGCAAAGAAATTGGCCTAAAATTTTAGATATTGGTGACGTCATCAGACTTGAAGAGGGGAACATATAGGTTATAATATAAGTAATCCCCAAATTTGATGACTACAGTACGTAAAATGTTTAAAATCAAGATGTTTAATCGAAAATGTGGTTTTTCCTTTTTCAAGTCTTTTATTACTTCAACTATCATCCGATTCAAGTTGTTGAATGATTAAAATATTTTGACTAGTCCCGTGGTGAATTACTGGTACAGTAGAATTATCCTGATTCTACTGTATCCATATTTACTGTTTTTAAATAGTTAATATAGTTACATGTAAGTGTAAATGTATCAGATTGTGTTGGAGGACTATTTTCCTGTAAAAATGTAAAGTTAATCTGGTAAAGGATGCATTTTGGTAAAGTTAAACCTCGGAACCAGAGTACAAACAAAGTACAAACAAAGTAAAAAAGCTTTGTTTTTTTTTTTGTTTGTTTGTTTTTTTTTTTTTTTTTGACAGGAAGGTAGACTTCCTGTCGAGGTTTTTACAGTTCATAAGTTGTTCAAGAGACTAGTCACCATGAGCCTTGCTGTGTATATTTTGTTATTGAGTTTCTAAGTTTGTATAGCACCGATGGCACAAACTGGAAATGTAACATGTTTAACCCTTAAAGTTAATTCTTGGCTGATACTATTTTTTATTTGGTGGCCAAGATGCCTCTAGTGGGTAGTTTCATTATTGTATCCACATAACATAGATGTATCTGTTAGAGCTGTAGCTGGTTGGTCACTAATGAACCAGATGGCTCAAAATCCACCTTAAACTGTTGGTCACTAATGAACCAGATGGCTCAAAATCCACCTTAAACTGTCCTTGAAGTCCATCTAGCTAGAAAATATTAAAAGATAGATTTCTTTTTACTGAACAACTTCCTCCACTTGAACCCCTACAACATTTTTAAAATGTTATAGAGCTGTTAATTTTTAAAATGTTATAGATCTGTTAAAAGGTAGCTAGAAAGTCCCATTAAACATCAACTAGGCCTAAGTACTAATTAAACCTCCTTCAGTTTTATTTCTTTACGTATAATATTGGTACTTATTATTTTTTGTAGGTATGACTGTAAGATAATACTCAATTAGATTCATTGCAGCAATTAAACATAACATTTTGTAATAAGCATTGTTATATTAGAACTTAAGTAAAGGTAATTAAAATACAATCATGAATCAGTCCTAAATTACGATAACGTACAATATCATATTTTAATTCTAAACCTGCGTCACTATTTTAAAATTCCTCTTGAGCGCAAATTGCTTTTGATTTTTAAAAGTCTACAAAAAGAAGTAGGCAGCTTCTTGAAGAAAATATATTGCATGTAAAAATGGCTATTTAAAGATTTTGAAAATCTGATTTGAGGTGTGACTAGGTTATTTTTGTGTCTAGTGTTGTATGGGTGGGATTGGGAATGACTGAAAAGGGTTGCTTTAATATTAATTAAGTTTTAAAGAATGTACAAATGTGACAGAGTTAACAAACTTATATCAGAAAAGTGCTCTTTACAGGATTCTTAATCCTGCAATCCTAGTATGGCTATAAGTGCTTTCTTTTGCCAGACAAATACTTTCTTTTGCCGGACAAATGCTTTCTGGGCAAAATGCAAACCACCCCAGAGGCTCAACTGACACTGTGCTACATACCAAATTTTATCAAAATCTGACTACAGGTGTGGTCCGTAGCTCTGTAGGCCTACACATCCACACACACAGACCTAGACATCACTTCAAAAACCACTTTTTTGGGTTGTTCAGGGGGTTCCAAAACGAAAAATGTATGACTAAAGTTTTATTAAAAAAAATAAACAGGATCAGGAATCTGAAACATACTTTCTCCTATAAGTTTATCAACAACCCTTATCATGGGCAAGCGGTGGGAGTAACTATTAGGGGAGAATCATCAAAGTCACAATAACTTTAAAACCGTGATTTTTACGGCATTGGAGGTTATAGCATTTTGTTTAATAGTAATAGGACCATAATCATACTTGATTTAAATTAAATCGTTTGAGCCATTTTGGCGAAAAGCTGATGTTTCTGTTTCCCCTGGGAAAATCATCATTAAAAATAAAAATTCCCAAATAATGAAAACACCTGGAGATTCAATAGCCATTATTCTATTATTTCGTACTCACATACCAAATTACATCGAAATCGGACTACAGGCGTAGCTCTGTACACATCCACACACAGAGACACAAACACACATCATACTTAACCCACTTTTGTTGCTTCAGGAGGACCCAAAACGGATATTTCCACCCAAAACTCAAACTCAAAAATGTTGACAAAAACAACACTATAAATATAAGATAAATAATAAATATAGGATCCTATAAATACAGGGTGGCTGAAAAGTAACTTACACCCCCCCCCCCCCTTAACTTTTCAACCATTTGTTTTTAGGCTTTTTAACTTCCATAGTTTTGCATTAAAAATTTTATTTTTCATTAGCCCATTGGTCTTCTAAAAAAAACTGATTGGGTGAGTATGACAAATCATAAATACCCATGGTTAATAGGTTAATGGGTTAGGTATATGTGTATTTTTCACGAGTTTCTTATGTTTTTAATTCACTATATAATACCATCAATTATACCCTCTAACAAATTACCATCATCTTTTACCAATTTTGACATGACAAATTCAATGAACTATGCAAAACACTGCTTAAGTTTATACTTTTTACCAATCCCCACACTTTTGGATTTTTACCTAAGCTTGGAGTAAATGCACTACCCAATGCACAGGCTATTTACCTGGCCTGCATCACTACTAATATTAATTTTTTTTACTGAATGGGATTTTTACTTAACGAAACACTCCACTTGACAGCTTCCTTTTGCATTTCCATTCTTGAGAAAAATACAAATAAAATTGTTTTTTTATAATGGTTATAATCATTGGGGTGAAATTAAAATTTTATATTGAGCACACTCCTTTGCTTTAAATTAATTTAGAAACAAATGTTTTAACGATGATAAAATAGAGCTTGAAACAGTCACATCAATGTTAGAATTACCTCAATTTGTTTTCAGGTGTTACGCAAGCAAATTAGTCAAATGCAAGAGGAAAGCCTGGATCCAGATGAGCCAGATGAGTCCAAACTAACAGTCCCCAAGTCTGGGGGTATGGCTATCTTGACTCAGTACCCATCCACACAAGACAGGTAAAAACTACTTCTACAAGCTTTTGAGTATGTGGAAAGATGTTCCAGGGACAAACCGCTCTGCATTTATGACGTCACGGCTGACCAGCCTAAACACTGAGTGGGGGAGGGAGAGGGGTTGCTTCAACGCCAGTAATATTCGGACCAGATCGGCTTGAGTCAAATCTATTCATTTAATTTTTGTCTTGCAAAACAAAGGGGCGTATATAATAAGACAGATCTGGTTAAAATGTTGAATGTGCATTTCCCGTTAAATGTGTGAGAAGGGAAATCTCTTCTCAACATATTGTGAGGAATCCAAAATCCCGTCTCGTCTCGAACTAAAAATCCAATCTCGTCCAACCCTAAAGAATAGTAATACCTACAATAACCGTCACATAGTGGTTGGAATCAGCTAGAATAGTAGTACCTAAATGAAGTAAAGAACAGAATGCCGGTCCAAAAGAGATATATATATTCTTAATTGACAAATAAATTTGATCTCTAATGTGATATACGGTAGGTTAAGTTTTACATGTATATTACTAGAAGTCCACTGTGATAATGTCCATGATTTTATAGTTTTGATTATGTCTATTACAATTCTGTGTCTAATGACAATAAAGGATTCTTATTCTTATTCAAGATTTGAACTAGCTCTTGCTTTGGCCTAGACAGGAGCTCAATGGAGACCTTAATTTACAAAAAGCCCTTGTAAGTAACAAGTTTCTTTTGTAGGCTAATAAGAAAAGTATTAACTACTTCTTTCAACAGGATTGTAACTGCTATCCAAAGAAGCGAGAAGATTGTCCGACTTAACAACTATATTTTCTCTTCGAAAATAGTGCCAAACACAGTGCAAACAGAAAAAGGGCCTTTGACTGAGGCAAAGACGTTTAATGACGATGTAACTTCCTCCGAGGATCCTTTACGTCCGAGTATTCCTCTGGAAACAAGGTCAGTATTCACTGTAAAAATTGATATATTGAATCTTAAGCAGAGCATATTTGAAGGGAATTCCACTGAGCGACAGCGGCACCGGATTTACAGAGGGATCTGGGGTTATGGAAATTTTTGCATCAAATTAAGTGAAAATCACACATTTCTAAGATCTTTTAATGAAGTTTCCAATTACATTTGCTTGTAAACAGTCCATATAAGAGGGCTATCCAGAAAGTAGATTACGTTTTTGTCTGTATCCACTAGGGACGGGGCTAGCGCGACCGTCTTGGTGTTAGTTCGTTATGCAGCTCAGTCGGCATCTAACCGTGCTAGTAAGAGGTTTCTGCTGTACTCCATTGAGTTACTGTGACAGTTTAAAATGTCTGTGTTAATTGAAAATGCCGCGAATCGTGAAGTGCGTACAGTTGTAAGGTTTTTGACTGCAAAAAACTGTAAACGGATAGAAATCTATCTGTATCTTAATTTCTAACGTAAATTCTAATTCTAAATTCTAACATAAGTAGATTATGTTAGAATTTAGAATTAGAATTTACTAATCCAATCTCGAGACCGTCATTTATATCCAGCATATCATGGTTATTGTCAATAATGTGCTGAGCGAATTTGGATTTCTGCAATTTAAGTGTAGGGGCTGGTCGATGCTCTTTGTATCTTGTAATGACGGTCTCGACATTCTACATTATTGTGGGAAAGGAAACTTATTAAATACCTTGGAGGAGTTTGAAATATATAAGGACCTAAAAACCAGGGACAGCACACAAATTTTGAATGAAAAACTCAATTATGAATCCCATTATATTTTCAACACTCTACTCCGTCACTACAATAGTCCTATATCAGCTGTTGATAACGCAGACGACAATCCAGGGTCCACGTCGGTCCTTCATAACCTGGTTCAGTCTACTTCCAGTCCTGCCCGCGGCAATGTACGTGCATAAGTTGATAGGCCTATCTGTTACCGTTTATTTAATCGTTTCGTGTTTTGTGTTTGTGTTAAATGTATGTAAAAACTCTGACGACACCTCAAGAAGTGGATCCTTTTGTGTGCCTGACGATGGTGGAATTTAATAACCACCGAAACATGTAGCAAGTTTATTTTCGACACTATAAAACATGTCAAGGATTGTCTGACAAGGTACGTTTTTAACCATTATTAGTCATATTACGCAATCCTGGGGCTATAAAAATGAATTATAATTAGTTACCAAACTGTAATCTAAGAGTCCATTAATTTTTTTTCGCACGCACTTCACAGTTCGCGGCATTTTCAATTAACAGACATTTTAATCTGTCACAGTAACTCAACGGAGTACAGCAGAAACCTCTTACTAGCACGGCTAGATGCCGACTGAGTTGCATAACGAACTAACACCAAGATGGTCGCGCTAGCCCCGCCCCTAGCGGATACAGACAAAAACGTAATCTACTTTCTGGATAGCCCTCGTAATATCACTTAATTATGTATTTTTTTTTTTTTTTTTTTGAAATGAAATGAAATGAAAATGATTTATTTAGTCAGGCAAAGTTAGGGCCACATGGCCCTCTCTTACACTTAACCTGTTTTTTAAGAGGTTGGTGGCCTCTTTTAACCTTGCATTTGCCCGTCCACATAGACTACAGATCTTTGCGTGGAACGTATCCAGCAAAGCAAGGGGTGAGCCGGTACAGTACAAAGGTGAACTGTACTGATAAATTTTAGTGGCAGTGACCAGGATCCGAACCCACGACACTGCTGCCTTGGGCCCGAAGTCCGCGACGCTACCAACTGAGCCACCGACTCACAAAAACGTTGTATTCTAGAATGTTGTAACAGGCCAAGGCCCCCCCTTCCCCTCTCCCCTATATCCCTTCTCAACCTCTTGGGCTAAAATCATAGCTCAATTTCAAAAGTGTACTACCACAAACATTAAACAGTCTGTGAACACAAGCATTTTTAAAAATCAATGTAAAACCTAGTCAATATAAATTTCCCCTTTTTATTTTTAGACAGATAAAAATCATGAATTGAAATGAAATGAAACCAGTGCTTTATTTTTATTAAAACAATGCATTACAAAAGAATAAAATTTTTTCATAAATCACTCTTCCATATACAAATAAAACACACAACCTACACACAACCTTGAATCACACTTATTCTAACGTTTTTTTTACCTTAATATAATTTTGTTTTGTTTAACTGCACTATGTCAGCATTAGCCCAAAGGACTGTCAGCTGGGCTGGCAGCTTTCATGTTAATTATAATATTACAGAATATTTGTATTTTCTCCTTATTTTCCATATTCCCTGCAACACGTTAGGATGGCAAACAATGTATTTTTGTGTGTTTTATTTATGCAAAATTAAATTCTGACACAAGTTCATATCTATATTCCCATGCATTAATTAAATAACATCCTAGACTTCGCCAGTCCCTACCATTTAAATATGAGTGTAAATCTTCCCTAGTAAGTTCTTTTTTATGAAGAAAACGTTTTCTTACACCTGCAAGGATTGGACACCTACAGATATAATGAAAAACATCCTCGTTTTCCCTTAAATTACATAAACTGCAAACGTAATTTTGATCACCTATTCAAGGCTTGTAGTTTAGATAAATTACTCCAATTCGTGCTTTGTAAATCCATTTTATCGCCCTTAGAGATAAATTAGCATTGATATAGGACGAGTTACCCAATTCCAAGTTCAAGGACGCATATGTTTGGTGTTAACGCGATCCTAAGGCCGCTTCCAAATTCGCCCGGTATTCTGCCTCTCTCACTGATTCTATGACACCTAACAATGCCGATTGTACACTTGCCGGATCTGTATCCATTTCCACCACTACGCCATGTGCGCGCCCCAGCTTCCGCCATTCCTCACACCAATACACATTCTTTTCAATTACCTGTTTCACCAGTATATGCGGTAACCGGTCTTCAGCAAGGGATAAGACTCTAACTAAGTAATTAAGATTACTATGTAAAGTGTACAAATATACTGATTCTGCTCCTGTTTCTAAATATAGTGCATAATTATGTGTATTATTAGGCAATTGAAAGATTTTCTGAATAAACATTTTCAAAACCCCTTCAATTTTATCATCCTTTTGATATCCCCAAACCTGACAGCCATAACATAAAATTGATTTAACTACCGCATTAAAGCAACTAAACTTTCTTTCCAACGAAATGCTACTACTGACAAAGAATTTATCCCAGATATTATTGATTGCCAACTTTGCACTTCTTGATTTAGTGCTCATCTGATGTTCCCACGTTAACTTGGAAGTTAACTCTTACCCCTAAATATTTATAACTGTTCACATCATGCGCGTTGATAAACCCAGAGCCGATAACTTATAGAATAGAGCGTTTCAGTCAACTGTATCAAACGCAGCGCTAAAATCTATAAAGAAACTATACAATTTGTTACCTTTAGAAGCTAGCCGTAGTTTGATCATACTTGTAAGATTAAACAAAATAAATAAAGATAAAAATCATAACCATAATGATAATTACAGATCCAGATCCGAGGCAATATTTTAATTTTATGATTAGCTCTAGACTATGACTCTACAAAAAACCTCAGGTGACTTTCGAGTCAAAACTTATTCTTGCAAACTCCCACTGATTAGGCGATTTAAATATTTATTTGTATTCATTCTTAGTCTATGACCGTTCTAATTTCAGAAAACACTGGTTAAAAAAATTGGTTATAGGCTATTTGATTATTCTTAAGTCAATAAATTGATCTTAAATTAATTTTTCTATTTCACATTTTACTTCCACGCATTAATACACCTAAACCATGTATGCATGCTCACATAAAGTAACTAGATGCGCAATGTCAACTCATGCCAACAGTTTTTATTTTAATTAGCACCTTTACCCTCGCTCCAGCCAGCCTTCACCTCTCCTCGTCTAGGTCCTGTAATAGGATAGGGAGTTCATATTAATCACATTACATTCTTCATTCTGTTATTTAATATCCATAATATCATCATCGTTGGCTAATCTCAAGTTGAATTTCATATGTTAGTTGAATTTGTGTTTTACAGCAGATAGCTTAAAAAAGCTCTATTATTTCCTTACATAAATTTAGCATAAGTGGTTGGAAATATCTGTCAAGAATTCTTGAAGTAACAACGGGATGAGCATTATACGGGAATTTGCAGTTTAGTGGACACCCTGGATTATCTAAAATAAAATATAAATTCAATATTCAATTCATCTTTGTTTAATTTTTTGTCTTAAATACTTTTTAACAAATAAACAAAAATTAGTAGACCTAGTCTATTAATTTCTTTTTAATTTCATCTTTAACGTGTGAGCAAAGTATCATGTTCCAAATAACACCTGGCAGTTAGAGAAGTTCAAAGTCAAAAACCCTATATTCATGATGTCAATAAAATAGTTCTGTACAATGGTGTCAAGTGGTTGATCTACTAACCAACAATACTTTGTTATCCATGGATTACTTTGTTGTTCCAGCTACTCTTTTGTAGAATTCAATGTCTTGTTTATAAGATAGTGCTTTAAAATAAAAAAAAAGTAGTACTTATTTAAATTTTCTTAACTTTTTATCTCCTTTGGAAAAAAAATATATATAGCCCCTACATATGGTGGTTTTATTTTAAAGACAATAATTTTGCAATATTAATGGAGAAGTTTTTTACAGATTGGAAGGAAAGAACTCAATGGAAGATGGGAGCAGTGATGCGGAAAATAAGAGTGAGTTCTCGAACAATGAACTTAAGAAGCGTAGACTTAGTCTAGAGAAGAAAAGCTCCAAGCCTGGAATCCGCAGACGGTCCTCTTTGCCTGCTTTGAATGGTAGGTGGATTGTCCTTGTGTATATAATGTTGAAAATCACGTTCCTGTTGTTTTGGTTGTAAGAACTATGTTAAACACAAAATGCATGCATGAGAATTGAGTAGAAAAAACAATAATATGAAATGTTTCAGTGGTCTTCAGACATCACACTTTTTTATTGGAGACAGGGCCTGTTCTAGATCAAAAATATAAAAAAAAAAACATGTTGTTTTATCATAGTACATCGTGTTAGCAGTAGCTTCCATGATTCTTAATGATTCTGATTAAATACATATTTTGTACATTTTAGCCTTTATGCACTTATAACATAGAATATACCCATATAGATATAAGTAGGGGTCTGCGGTGCACCGAAAAAGTCGGTACGGTACGGTACAAGCTTAATTACCGTCATCGGTTCGGTACAGCATTTTACACGGTACAAATTCGGTTCGGTACAGCCTATTATAATAATAAATTACTTTCAGTTTACTATCGTAGTCAACGGCAGTTGGTTCCAAGCACATAAAAGTCTTATCAGTTGTTTGTTTACGATCTTCATAATTTATTACTAGCGTGATGATGCAATAAAAAACCCATTAGCAGTCCCAAATCCATTGTGATGATGCAATAAAAAACCCATTAGCAGTCCCAAATCCATTAACATTTTATCACGACAATAATTGTTGTATTGAAGTACTTCCAAGAACTGTTGAGTTTTATCACTTTTATTTCTTTACGACTTTCCCCAATTCTGTTTTATCATAAAAATAATAGTTTTATGATGACTGTTAAATGTTATCTCTAACTTAATCAGTATTTTCGTGAATATTGAATTTGCCGCTGGCCATTGCCTACTGCCATAAAACTGTTTATGGCTACATATTAAACTTGTAACTAATCTACAATCTTATTTTATAAATTAAATATTTGTTATGGATATTTTATCTTTCTATTGACGACCATGGATATATACAAACTTTTGTCGTGATTTTAATTTTAACATCAAAATACAATATTGCACAATCGTGATATTTTAGGCCATTGACCTTTATTATGCATCCGGTATTGCTGTTTCAGAAGAGAAGCACGTTGATAAATTATAAATTGATATTCCCGTAGTTAAAAAGAATTATTTTATAAACCTATAAAACAAAATCATAAAATCTTACATAAAGATAACAATAACGGAAATTGTAAAAAGGGTATAAAGATAACAACGTCAATCTTTATCTTTGTTCTTCTATTTCTTGGGTTTCCCTTCATCACGCATTCAACAAGTTGCCATGGTTACTAATCACCCATGTCGTTATCAGCTTTTGTGACATAGCGCACAGCAGGGGGTAAAACTTGACGAAAATCGGTTAATTTTTACCTATTATTTAATTACCAATGAATGTACGGTACTACTTTATTAGTATTTGGTATTGTATTAATAATCGGTCCAAATGGCAGATTTTTGTCAAATTTTACACCAAATTTATTGAAATTTCATTAATTATTACCAAATATTTGTATTCATTTAAAAGATTGATTTGTGGTATTGGGTTCCCCACTGAGCGCAGCCGAGCGGCACTAATGAGGGTCGGACCTTCTTGGGGGTGAACAATAGACGGCTTATCAGACCCTCCCCTCCCCTCCCCCGTGGTCTGGAGAAAGCTTGTAAACAAACTATTGCACAAGCGCGCGTGACTTGACATTGGGCTGCTTCAATTATAATTTTGTCAAATGAACTGTGATGTTTCAAAATCAAAAACAATAATTTGGGACCATACTGCTTAACAATAATGGACTGCAATTATTGTTGAACATACAATCCATTTTTAACAAACTAAGATTATACGATTCAAATACAATTATAAAAATTATTTTGGTATTTTACTTGGGGTAATGAAGTTATGTAGGCTAGTGTAATTCTCGGTTCATCAAGGTTCTACTGAATTATGTTTGGCAGTGAATAAGTGTAGAATGCAATTTATAAATTTAGGGATACACACCTTTTACACAGTTATAAAGTCTAATTGCCCAACATCAAATCTTACTCTGTGATAATCCAAATTTTAGTTTCAGAAAAAAACTTTGCAAGAATTGTATCCATCTTATAACTTAACTAGTTTTGAAGCTGATAAAAAAAAAAGGTCTTTGCCATTACTTCATCATAACCTCCAGTTTTTCATTGTCATCTGCTGTGAACAGCTGGCAAAACTACACTGTCTTCTACTGAATGCTTTTATATGTTTAAAAAAAAAAAAAAAACAAAACAAAAAACAACTAGACATTGTGTTGTTTGGAAATAATTTACCAGTTTTGTGAAATTATCTTGTCAATAAATGTTTCAAACATGTTTATTCATAAAAACTCTTATCCTATTTTTAAACTACTTTATCATGGCTATTCAAAGTATCTCAGAGTAAAATAGGTAAAGCCTTTATCTCAACTGTGATTTTTCTTGACACAATCCTCGTAGTAGTAACAGGTTTTGTTTTGATAATATGTATTTTTGATATTTTCATGTATAAACTTTCATATTGCACTGCTTGTTTTAATTTATTTGATCTGAAAAGCTATTAATATTGATGGTATGTTATTATGCCATGCATGATAATGATGAGTATTTTAGTTAGTTAGTTTTATTAAATTACTCTTGACGCCATTCCTGTATCTATGTATTGTACTTTAATGAATAAAGTTATATGAAATGAAATGAAATGAAATGTGGTACAGTAATTGTTGTTAGAAAACCATGAATGTAGGATACTATCCATTTTCATAGTAATGTCTATGTATTAAAGTTAAAAATAATGGTTTAGATACAGTTCTGAGAAGAAAACCGCAAAAATACGGGTAGCCGCGTACCGTACCGATTTTGTACCGAGAACCGAGGTACAAAATATTGTACCGTACCGACCTTAAATTTTCTGTACCGCAGACCCCTAGATATAAGTATAAATAAATACATGAATACATTGATACATACACCAATATTGTATCTCGGTTAGACAGGTACTCCATTTATTAAAAATGCTCTGACTTTTTTTGCAAAACAAGGTTAGTTCCCTTTGATTTGTACAGGAAGCTTGTAGAAAAACAACCCAGCATGGGACAAAGTCATTTTAGAATGTGAAATGTTGGGCAAGTTTAAATCTTTTAGTAGTGTTAACCAATTCACCTTGAATTTCCAAAGTTAAGAGAGAACCAGCTAGTTTTTTCCCCCCGAGTGTCTGCAAACAACGTTCTACATGACCCTTTGCAAACAGCGAGAAGTAGCAAAAGTTCTGTTAAAACTGCAGAACGTTTTTGCTCGAAGCAAAAGTTTACAGAAAGTCTTGATATTTTCCTTGAAAAGAACCATTAAACCAGGGTTCTTGGAGTCACGTGCCAAAATTGCCAAATCCACATTTAAATCGAACAAATAATTTTGGATCCCTGCTTAATAAGACTATCAACTCAAAAACTGAAAGAAAATGTCTCAAACTTGACTACCATATCATCATCTTGTCTGTATATTTAGCTAATCGTTGTTTTGGTTTTAGGTAAAACCAACACCTTATGCAAATCTAGAAGTCTGGAAGAGTCCACTAGGATGCTAAGAAGCGCTACACCAATAAAAACTCTACGTTCCCGCAACATTGACCTAAGTGATCTGTCGTCGAGTGCTGGTACGAAGCGCAGCAGAGCTCCTAGCCCCCCTCCCAACAAGAAACAACGACTGGAGGAACGACCGGGGAACAAACCAGTGAACAAATCTTCTGACTCAGAATCCCCCTTTTACATGTTGCGAACCGGAGATGTGGAGCTTTTCGAGGATTCTGTCAAAGGTGATCTGTCTAAGATGATGAAAGACAGAAAGCACAAATCGGTGTGGCAGGAGAATGAGGACTCTGATGGTGGAACTATCAGCAGAAGACTGAGGTTAACTCCGGAAATTAAGCGTCAGAGTAGAACCCACGTTGAGATTACCAAGAAATAACATTCCTCTGCCGCACCTTGTATATAGACATTGATCTCACTAGTGATGGGCAATGAAAACAATCCCTTGCCACAAACGTATATTAGTGCCTTAAGTGACTCATCAGCTGGTCTGAATGTTGACGGTTCCCACTCAACACAATATCTAATGGGAATCTTTATTTTGGCAATAGAAAATACTTAAAATAGAAATCACCTGGGGTGCATATGAATAACCATTACTAGACGTCAAGTTAAAAAACTAAGACTCACTAACAAAAACTTGAAAAGAATCATATTTATTTTGTATGAATACTTAGGGGTTAATCATATATTGAGATGACCAGTTTTAATTGTGTCGTATTATTTTTTTTTATCATGATCATTTTATAGATATTAAGTTTTGAAAAACCAAGATGCACCAACAAAAACTTGAAAAGAATCATATTTATTTTGTATGAATACTTAGGGGTTAATCATGTTTTTAGATTATCAGTTTTAATTGTGTTGTATCATTTATTTTTTATCATGATCATTTTATAGATATTAAGTTTTAAAAAACCAAGATGCACCAACAAAAACTTGAAAAGAATCATATTTATTTTGTATGAATACTTAGGGGTTAATCATGTTTTTAGATTATCAGTTTTAATTGTGTTGTATCATTTATTTTTTATCATGATCATTTTATAGATATTAAGTTTTAAAAAACCAAGATGCACCAACAAAATCTTGAAAAAATCATATTTAACTCACTAAGTGAATATTTACAAATAAATTTTATATTTGCATGATCCGTTTTAACTGAAGATTATTATATTTTATTTACAATCTTAATTGTTATTCGTTTATATGTTGATAGTGATGTATGTTTTAATTTAAGAAGATTTTAATTTTATAGTTGTGTACACATTGAATGTGCATACATAATACCTAATACATAATACATGCATAATATAATACATGCATAATAATAATACATAATAATACGTAATGCATACATAATTGAATTTTTATTTTTAGTTTTAAACAATTTTAAAATTATCTTGTACTTTTAATCGATACTTTTTTAGTATTAATCCAATATAAATTGAAAGTGTGTTCGCATTGCAAATGTTGTATATTTCCACACTATAAAATCAATTTTAGTTGTAAATATTGATCATTAATTATTTATTTTGCTTTGGAAATCATCGTTTAAAGTAGTTAAACCGTCATAATTTCTACTATGTTTTAATTTTAAAATGTTGATTTTTTTCACGTGTGTTTAAAAATGTGTCTTGTAATTGTTTTGTAATATTGTATACAGTACCAAATTTAAATATGTGCATATTGTTTTCTTGTTGTTTATCCACAAAAGTAACACAAGTTATATTTTTAATGCTCTAGTAGCTGTTATTTATTTAAAGAAATTTTATTTTTGCAGGAAATCATTATATATGTTCAATCATTAAGTATGTAAAATCTATCAAAATGTTCTATCAATTTTGTTTGTGTTGTAACGGTATAAGCATGCATTTTTGTGTTTATGTAAAGCATTCTGCATACAAAGAAACATTTAATGTATTAATTTTATGTAAGTGTTGCGTTGTAACCCACCCCTACTGCCACCGGTGCTGTTCAAACCTATGATTGTATGTAAAAATGTTATTGAACAACACACTTTGGCAGTAAGGCTTGGCTACGCCTGTTAAAAATTAGCAATCATGGTTTGTAAATATATTTTATTGTCAACATAATTTCAATTTTTGTTGTTGAGATGGTTCAAGATTTAAATTTTGCTTGCATTTAACAGTAACCATCCCAAATACAGCTATGCATGTGTAAATAAATCTTTAATTTGTATGCAGGATAACATTGTTATGATAGTTCATTTATTTTTTTATCTATGTAGAAAATATTGTACTTTTAAATTAAGAGAAATCACTGAATTCTTGATCTTCCGGGAAGAGTCGTGTCAAGTCGGTATTTACAACACAAGACATTTTGCCCATTCTATAATGAGGCATCACCATAGAATGGGTGAAACATCTGGTTTTATTAAAAATGTAAATACCAACTTGACGCTCTCACTGGATGACCGGGAATTCAGTGACGACATCAGCCACTTAAGCCTACAAATAAAGATTGAGATTGATATTTCATAGAGTGATAAAAATAATGCTAGTTATTTTGGATAATTATAATATCATAAAGGTTTTATTTCCTGAATGAAGCTTCAGCATTAAAATATAGTTACAATCAGAAAGTCACATATGAATCTTGAAAGCCAAGTATTCAACGTGCCCCAGTTGTAGGCAGGAGAACTCACTGTGAGGTAGAAGGACAAATGTTTTTCAAAAAGACATAATATTTTTAACCTTAGAATAAAAATACCCCTGCCACAGCAAACCTGCAGACTAATTAATTTCAATTCGTCTGATTGGACTTTTACTAAAACATTTCCATAAACAAGAAATATTTATTCCCCATTTAATTAACATTAGATTTTACGAGTAGGTTTGCTGCTACAGGAAAGTTTGAAAGTGTTATTTTGACCCAATACTAATAGTACAGGATGAAATAAATACCCTTTTCCCATGACCCGATCTTGCTGGTTCGCGAACACATTTAAGTTTATCCCACCTTACACCTTCAAGCCATATTTCATCAAAATCAGACCAAAATTACTCGAGTTATAGCATTCACTTACACACACATATATATAATTAATTATATAGATAGAGATATACATGGTGACAATTATGTCTTGGGACGACTTTATAACTTTAAAACGAAAAGAGATATCAGAACCAAATTCGCCATATCATTACTGGTAATAGTAAGCTACTTTTTTGTGTACATGGTGATCGGATGTCACCAATGGGGGACCGCTCATAGGGAGTAAGTTGAAAATCTTAAATGTAAGGATAGGTTGATACGTACATTAAATTAAAGGGTCTTGTTAAATACAATGCCGCAAACCGGGCCTCAAATAGACAACTGAGTCAAAAATAGAAAAAAATTGACACACACACATTCACAGGCGTCCCTATTCACTGCTAATTTGCATGTAAATTGAATATTGAATTGTGTATAACGCCTGTTTTGTGATATTAATTTACGAGGAAGCTATAGAGGATGCCTGAAGAGTCACTGTGTTGACTTATCGCGTTGCAAATACGTAGAGAATAAAAATTCGAGAAGGTAAACATCAAGATTTACTAACAAATATTAGCCTTCATATTCAGTGCCTTATAAATATTGTACCACAACACAACCATCTTGGAATACTGCAATTGCAAGTAGACTTCTTATCCTATAGTAAAATATGGAGCCTATTTTGATGTGTATTTCCTGTCTATTTCTATATTTTTCCCATCGAGTAAAACATTAAATAAATGTTTTCTCTTCTTAAAAAAAATGTACAGTATGCGCTTGACTCTTTGATTACATCACCAAAAAACAAACGCCAGTTTGTGAATGCGTTGTATTTTGTCAAAATAGTTTCAGAGTTGGTTTAATAACAAGAAATAAGTAGCTAACATGAAAACACAAACTAAATGTAATGGGACTAAACATACCTTTAAGTTTACATTGTCCTCATCTGATTTAAGAGGAGTATGTTTGAGCTATGACATAAATGAATCAATCTTTTGTGATTGTGTTCTCTTGTCTTACCAGTATGTTGTATACAGTGTGTCTTCAAATTATTTTACAGTTCTTAGTTGCATATGATGTAGATATGAATTTTTATAAAAAGTTTATCCTATACTGACTTTTAAAAACCAAGCATACCCCTAACATTGTGTGTTTAGTAACAACATAGGTAGTGATGGTCAAATCCAGGAATTTCAAGTCCAAATCCTAAAAAAATGGAATCTTTGAGTCTCGAGTCCCAAAAATAATTACAAATGGGCTTATGGTGATTAAAAAAGCAAGAATGGAATATGAACCATTCAAAAATAAATATTACACTAACCATAGATGACTACTCTTTGCAATGAAAAGTTATGTAATTACTTTTGACACACGGGAAAAATAACAGACGACTAATCGGTTACATTTTGTAACCTATAAACCTAAATCGAACGTTCGGTCGGTATACTATATTTGGACGGCAAATATTCATTATCGGTTATTGTTGTTGTCGGTAGACTTGTTAATTTTAAATTCGTTGATCGATAGTATATTCTGTTCATAAAATGGCAATGTCATAGTACTGTATATTAGTCAATAACCTCTATGGTAATGTAATGTCACAATATGCCTTATAATTCTATTAAAAAAAAATGTTATTCTCAAATCTCGAATCCGAATCTTTTCTTAGGGTTCGAGATTCGGATTCGACACATCCCTAAACATAGGTTTTTAAAACTCGTTCAAAACCAATTTATGTTTGATTAGAAATTCAATTATTTCTAAAACCCCTATTTGTTTACAAAAAAAAGTGTCATATCTCACATCTGATTCCAAATTCACATATCTAAGAATCCAGATACCACCATACATACTATTCGTAATCATAACCAAATATACATAATTGAGTATACATAATCAATGATACTACTATTCACTTTTATTCCTTCTATAGTTATTTGTGTAACTAGTGTGCAAACTGTGAAGTGGCACTTTGTGCTCGTGTTGCGCATTATATTTTTCCTACAGTTACTAAAAAACATAGAAATATTTAATCTTTCACATTTTAGGTTAGGTTAAATCCAAGCGTTGAACAAAATGGGGAACACTGCACTAGCCGATCGTAGTCGTAGTATCTTTAAGTATTGCTAACTTATTTTCATGTGTGTGTATATGTATTACGTGCCTAATAAAATAACACTGTTTTGAGGCAAAAGTTGTGGCAATGCAGCAATTGGCTACTTTGCGTGCTAAAATCAGTACAAGAAAGCCCGCTTTGTCAAGTAACTGTAGGAAAAATTATTTGTTTTTTAAGCTCTACAAGGTATTTTAAAAGGAAATTGCAAAATTTGATGTTAAGGGGTCAAAAATGGAAACAAATATATACCCCATAAAACCCCGTTCCCATAGTCCAATCATGCTGGTTTGCGAACTTGTACAAATAAACATTTTTTTACGTGTTTGTACTAAATTTCATAAAAATCGGATGATTTTTAACGGAGCTATCGGGATAACGGACACATATACATAGGTCTAAGTTACATATGAATTTGAACGATGGTGTTTTTGGCCTTTGGGGACCTTAAAACGAAAAAGTAAATCGATCCGTGGTCTAGGTCTTACTATGAGTCCTACGGTAATAGTTCTTTTCCTACAGTCACCCGACAAAGTTGGCTTCCTTGTACTGTTTATAGTACAGAAAGCTGCTAATTGCTGTATATTTATACTTTGTTGTACGGTTTATACTTTTCAGGATTCCAACGAAACAATACAAAACAGCGTGGTTCTATTATGCACGTAATCCGTGTACGCTTGGAAATAGGTTGGCAACACTTAAAGATAATAATACTGAGTAGCTGATTGACTATTATAACTATGATTTAACCTGTCATTTTGTGTTTATAGTTTCGGTATTTCTGAACTTTCTGGACTTTTCTTTTAAACGTTTTTAAAACATTCCTACGATCTTAATAAACAAGAAAATACCTTTAAAGCATTTTTTAGGCACGGAAACCACTTCAAATTACAAAAACATACGGAACTATTATCTCAAGTCGCGGAGCACATTGCTTGCCGCGGAAAAAATAGCAGAGTGATACGGACCGGTACTGTAACTATTTTCTCTAGGGCACCTATTTGTGTTGCCAGTTGAACCTAAAATTGTGTAGTATAGTGTTTGAAAGACTAGTTATTTATATGCTTTATAGTGACTGTAGGAAAAATATAATGTGTATCACGAGTGCAAAAGGCCTTTGCTGCACTCGAGATCATTCCAGTAAACATTGCTCTCGTGTGCAGCAAAGTGCGACTTTGCTCACTAGTTACACAAATAACTATTGTACAACATTTGTTTATTCCTTAATTAAATCAGTTTAGTTTCTCTTGGAGAACCCTATTTGAGTTCTTGTCCTCTGAAAAGCAACATTAATCAACATTTACCTTAAACGTTGTCTATGTTCTTGAAGTTGGTCACTTATATGTATTTTACCGTGGTAGGCGACATCCTCAGAGAACTTCTTACTCTAAATCTTAATACAAAACTAACTAAATAAATATGTATTTATTTATACATGGGTTGGCCTATTTTCAAATCACGTGCACTTATCGTTGACAACTGACTATACTGACGATGTTGGAGTCGGCGTATTTTCTACCTGTTCTCTCGTATCGCGGATTCCGAGTGTGTGCCACAACCGGGCGGGTTGGTGTTTTGACGACGGCTTCATTGTGTTGACTTACATTTATGAGTCCCAAAGAAAAAAGGGGTTTCAATGTTTCTATATTTTTTATCTTAATTATAATTGGTTAAGATTAAAAATGTAAAGTTGCAAAACTGTTTTACCAATATTGGCTCAAAAGGATTTGGTTCTTTTCTATACCTATTCATTTTTGTGTGTTTCTTTTGTTTACTTACAAAATCTTTTTTATCTTTTAAATCTTTTTTACAAAATAATACAAGTACCGGTATGTCAAAGAATTATAGAGATTATAAACATATTCACTCTTTTAAATCTGATTGTTCAATCCCCAGATGTCATGATTTGTCATTACCTTAATTTGTTCTTGTTTTTATTTGTGGCCATGAAATAGAATGAAGTGTTCTTAAATTTCTTTACTTATGGATAAAATCATGTCGATAATAGTGTGATTGTAAGGTAGAAAGTATGTGCCTCAATAAGGTGCATTAAAATACCAATTTGTTCATTCTTACTATATCAACCTAGATATTTATGTATAGTATAAACTTTTATTGCATACATGTGTATATGTACTACCGTATTTATATTGTGTAAGAGCATTTGAATTTTTAATGAAAGTGCCTCTTTATATTGATATAGGCTATTTTTAGAGGGAATTTTTTGTAACCGACACTTTTACAATATTGTAAAGAGTTTAGTTTTAGGTTGACATCTTTATAAGCAATACAAGTTGTGTATGATTTCATCAAAGATCATTAGACTTTTTCCAGATAAGTAGTGTGAATATATGAATTTTTCTAAATGGGTCAGTTGTTATAGCTGAGAGATCACAAGTGTTAGTATGACAGTGAAACATTTTATTCAACCAAAACCACTTTCACACTTCACACTGTCTTCTCTGGTTACAGGGTGTTTCATAAAAATCTCCCTTTTTTGTGATTTTGTAAAGCTTTCTTCAGTTATATCGAGATTTTCTGTCAAGTTTGCATTTTATACTCTATGTAACAATACAATAATAACTAACCAGAGTTTCCTTAAGAAATCACAATGAATATTTACAATCTTGGTATTATAACATAGAGCTCTTAGACCCTTTATTGAACCTTTAAATATGATGTAATTTCTTTGATGAAACTGACTTAGACCTGAGCTTTTAATCGTCATTAATTACTTTGCTGAGAGTAAAAAAAGGGAGTTTTATGGTTTACCCTCCAATCAGTCTACCACAGCAAAAGTTGTGTACATATTTTCAGATAGTTTGGAGTGATTGTATACTTGGTTTAGTGGATTAGTTCTATTGCCTTTGTAAACTGCATACATAATTTGTTTTTAACTTAGTCTTGTATTTTTTTTATTGTATAATCATTGTTTACTAAGATTGTTTTATTAACTGGCAGTTTTGTGATTGAGGTTTTTAATAGCAAGGTCTCGCATGTAATGTCTGTTTGAAAATAAACTGGTATTTGAATAAATATAATGTTTTATTTATTTTTGGTAATACCAAGTTGGTATAGAGTATCTAATAAGAACTCCAAATGTGTAGAATGACTTTGTTTGATATAGAAACACGGAATACTTATTTTACATTATTGTTATAATAATGAAACTGATATTGAATCAGATATTTTCGGTCGATGGTTCTAACTTTTCCTGGTTACATTTCATAACTGAGTGAGAAATACCCCCGCCGCAGCAAACCTGCAGACTAAGTAAATTTCTATTTGCCTGAATTGACTTCAAATCAAATCTATTTAAATAACATTATGTTTAACGGGTACCTACGTTTGTTGCTACAGAGAGGCTAATAAAGTGGGTTTTTAGTAAAATATTAGTAGCTTAGTATAAAATAAATAAATTTGCCTATTTCCATAATCAAGCAAACTACAACATTTTACCAAATTCTCCATAAGAATAACATGGGAATTTTAAATTTGCAATTTTTAAATTTTTCCCGTAACCAATAACCGTAAAAAAAATTTTGGTATACTATACTTTGGTATATAAATTGTTTTTTTAAGCTCTTTAAGAGAGAAATTGGACAATTTTGTGTCTTGTGGGTCAAAAATGAGAAAAACCAATTTTTACCCTATAATACCCCCTGTAAAATCCCGTTCCTATGGTCCGATCATGCTGGTTCGCGAACTCATTCAAGTTTATTTTGCCTTACGCCTTCAAACCAAATTTCATCAAAATTGGACAAAAATTACTCAAGTTATCGCGTTCACGGACGTACATATATATATATTATATATACATATTTAAAAATTTGAACAAATAGTTTTTTGGCCTCTAGGGACATTAAAATGAAAAAGTATATTGGTCCCGGCTCCAGGTCTTACCGTGCCACCTACGGTAATAGCTACTTCCCTATAGGGAAATTCGCTTTTAAAGTGCTTAAATTACCCGTCCTCCAAGTATTTTTATTTGATGGTTGGTTGATTTAAAACAGCTGATTGAAATTGCTTTGTTTCTAAGATAAATTATACCACTTTTAAGCCACATTTACATGAGGCTAGTAGAGTAGGCATGTTACTGGCCTCAGGTAACTTGAAATACATTAGAGGCAAGTAACTTGCCTGACTCGTGCAAACGCAGCTTTACTCCCGATCAAAAGGTAAACAAAATGTTTTGTTACTTTGGGATCAAGCTTTGCTAAAAAATAAATATTATAATTTATATATTTTATCAGCTGTTTCATCCCAATGATGAGCACAATCCCATTTGTGTAAAACTTACCCAGTCGATCAGAATGGTATTTTCCTTTGTACTGTGCTAGTAGATGACATGTTTATAAGCACATATTTACATTCATTCGTTTACATTTCCAATGTTATTCAGTAACCTACGTGGAAACCCATATAAGTCCCTTTACAAATGTTTTTGAATCCCATTTGAAATTCATACCATAAGCAAAAGAATATTCTTATTTGTATACTACATTATTTGTATATTACATTGGTCTTGGATTTATTTTCTAAGCAGCTCAATTATACCTTGCGCATAAAGGTAATCTTGGCACCCATTCTGAAAAACAATTACAAATATACACACTTTACATCTATAGAATTTTGATGTTTTACACTGGGCCCCAGTAAGTTTTATTAGGATTGTTAGGGTAGTTGTGTTTTATGTTTTTTAAATATTTTTTAATCACTCTAATAGAAATGGGGTGATGAGAAAATTAATCACTTATGATACAGAATCATTTTTTTATTATCAAAGTAACAAGTGAAATATAGCTTATTAATACAACAATTGTAATGTGATGCTTTATTGTGATGATGTTTATTAAGTGCTGTTTGAGGTGATGTGAATGATAAGCTGTAAAAAAATCATATTTAAAACAAAGTAAAAATAGATAATACTTAAACAATAAAATGCCTTTAGATAATAGACTAAAAACAACTACAGTAAATGTGATACTTAGGCAACCGGCATAACATGTTGTCAAGTTTATTACCTTGCTGGAAAAAAAAACAATCCTCTGGACTCCATTCAAAACACTGGTGGTATTACAGGAGATCTCCTCGTAAACGACCTCGCATTAACCGCTACTCTCTTATCCGCCCTCGCTCTTAAAATATTACTTTAACCGACCTTGTTTAGAGAGCACCTTCCAAGAATCTCGGCATTTTTGCTACAATACACTCTACAGGATGTTACTTAAGAATAAGCTATTGAGATGCTATAAACGAACATCCTGTCTTGTAATGAAATAGTTGTTTATATTTTTAATTTTGACAATAACTTCTGTACTGTACTTACTTTGATCAGGAAACCATTAATTCCAGATGTATTTGATTCTATAATTTATTTTGTCTTAGAGACAATATAAAATATTTTCTTGTTTTTTTAACAAATAACTGATGACAAAGAACTAATATAAGTGCATGGTTTGTATTGACTATTTCGGGACAAAGTTGTAATAATGTGTTAAAATTCTTAGTAAGGTGCAAAAAGTATCTTACAATCAATCTAAAAATATTCAAGACCAAAAAACCTTTCAAAGGAATTTAATTCCACTCCTAACTTCTTGCCTGCCAAATTTATCATGCAAACAAAGACGTGTATCAAATTACAATGACTTGCGCTCCATTGATTTTTCAGAGGATTGCTTTTCCAGAGGAAGACTTATTTTAAGAATCTACCAGTCGCCCCCAAAACCACCCCTGTTGAGCACCCGGGGCTCGAAGTACCGATGGTATGCGAGGTAACGATAGTAATCTTCTTCGCTCATGATGAGAAGCTGAAACAAGCAGCAAGGAGTGCAACGCTTGTCTTCTTCCGAACTGTTTTCCAACCACTTATTTACGCAGCACTTGGCCGGACAAACATTCATGTTCTCCAGTTTAGACAAAAAGAGACTGACATTCAATGAGAAGTCTGCTGCGGCGTCTTCAGTCTCAAAGTTAAGCGCCATCTTGGAAGAATGCTTGTTGCAAATCTCCATCACGTGGTAGGTGGTGCTCTCCCGTGTGTATCTGACAACATAAACAAGTTTGAGGGGATCAAGTGACTGCTGAGGGCACAATATTCTATCCATCTATTCTCAAGATCGTCATGAGTTAGAAACACCCCTGCCACTACTTTTCTTGTTGTGTGTGTTAGCAAGTTTCTTCCCAGTTCTCACTTAGGCGTAGTTTAAACATGTACCAAACCTTAAATTGTGTATATTTGTCCAAGCAGCTAGCTAACAGTGTGTATACAGGGTGGTTCGCGTAAGGTGTCTCAAATTGATTTCAGACAAACCGTTTGTCCTACAATGATGCAGTAAAACTATTTCCCACTAAATAAACCCCAAGGAATAACGTAAAAATATTTTAAATGTTTTTTTTATAAAGGGTGTTCAAAAACCAGAACCCTCTAGTTTAAACTATAAGCTTTAAACTAGTTTAAATCTCGGAAATATCAAATACAAACATATATCATATTATACATAATTTTAAAGCCGTATTAAAAAAGAAACATTTTGTTGAAAACGGAACTAAATTATCTTTAGCCGTTTCAAAATGGCAGCCATTTATTTGAAAAAGTTTGATTTTTACAGAATAACCTGTATTTTTCTTGAAATTGCAGATATCTTTACCCTGATTCAAATATCGTATTCCTTATGAGCTAAATATTTATTCTGGTATTAGATATTATAAAATTATCCCAAAAAAATTCAAAAAAATTTGTTTTGAAAATATTTACATAGCCAAAACTTAAAAAGTTAATAGCATCATATGTCAAACAGCACATCATTTTATAGGTCTTGCTATTCCAAGCAACTTTCAAATCTAGACCATACCCATATCTCTTTTAGTTTTTGAGTTCTCAGCAAATAACATGCTTTCTCCATATAAAACGCATGTTAATTGTTAACACAGCTACAGTACCCTATTTCGCACAACAATCGGACAGCTGATTTTAAAAAATGAGGTGATATCTAAGAGAAAAAATCAGAAAAACAGCGTACAAGAGCGTAAAAATAAATAAAAATATTTGTACGTTATTCCTTGGGGTCGATTTAGTGGGAAATAATTTTATTTCATCCTTGTACTGTACGTTAAGCCGTTTTTCCGTAATCAGTTTGAGACACCGAATTTAGCCTTACGTGGGACACCCCTGTATATATTATTTTCAATTTAATTTATATTCATTGTTAGTTAAATTTATAATTGATTTATTCTCATAGTTTATTATTGTTACCATTGAACTTTTAATGATATTTTTGTAATTGTTGTCTTTTTATAACTTCTATTAATTACTTAAGAGACAGTGAAGGACTCATAAAACTCCATGCTACTGATTCAAACTGACAAAACTTATATTTTATAAGTAACAATATTTTTAGAGCAGACAGAAAGCCCTTAAAAATAAAGCCCTTTAAATAAGGAAGTTTTTAGTAATATTTGTTTAACTCAGCGGAACTCGGTAACCGAGAAATAAATTGCTGAATGATATTTAAATTTTTGTTGATATTAAAAATAATTGTTTAACGAAGAAATTTAAGAGTCTTCCTTAGTGGAAGCCATGTTAGATTTCTTCCCCATAAGAACAATGTTAACTTTGGGTCCAAATATCTCATCAGCAAATTGTCATATAATTATGGATAAGGAGTTAAATTTAAGGAATTGCGGTCCTCTAGAGATTGACGTTTTTTATTTCACAATTTTTAATTTTTATAATGAATAATTGATTATTAATTAGCTTAAAATTAAGCTAATTATTGAAAGGAAATGAAAATGGATTTTCGAAATTCAAAAACCTCAGTCACGAGTCTATTATGTTAAAAATACAAATTATAAATTTCAAAGCTATATCTTAACAAATAACGCCGTTACGTGTCCACAAATGATGTAATGTTTAACATTGTTCTTATGGGGAAGAAATTCAACATGGCTTCCACTAAGGAAGACTCTTAAATAGAATTTTTTTCCGCACCCCAACGATTATGTGTTATATCTATTTAAAATTTTGTCAGGATTCTGAAAATGACATTTAAATTAACAATTAGTGCCTTTTTAACAGAGTCATATAACCTTTTTCATAACAACTACAATAATTTTTGAAAAATCTTAATTTATTTGTTATTCCCTAATGGTTGAGGTTGGGAACCTCAAATGTGCGTCATTATGTCACCATTACCATGAAGTTTGATGAAAAATTTTATTTAACACTTATGACCGGACACCCTGTATATAAATATACCTATATATAAATATATATATATATATATACATGAATTTGAACGGATGGTGTTTTTGGCCTCTAGGGACCTCAAAACGAAAAAGTAAATTGGTCCCGGGTACAGGTCTTACCATGAGTACTACGGTAATAGCTTATTCCCTGTATGGGAAATTCGCTAAAAGGTTAGTGATTAATCCAGGTTCTACTGTAGGCTACTCAAAATGAAATGCATGGATTTTTAACTTTTGCTTGACTCACCCAGACCGCCAACTGATGGTATCCTTGCACAGTACAAGCCCTGTGGATCGTTCAGCGATGATGATCCACAACTCTGGAGTGTCGTACTCCATTGACAGGACGAGGAGTGGTACTCCCCACCACAACTCCATCCACACCTGGCTCCTATTGCAAAGATGAACGGATGCTGCGCTCTTGCTGATCACCACTTTCAGATTCCTTCCAGAGTAAAGTTCATCAATCGTTTGTCTCTCCTCCTCAGTCACATACTTATCAAACATCCCTTTGAAAACCAAGCATCTAGTTTCGAGCATTAAACACAATTCAGATGGCTCAAAATATTCGTCTTCAGGAACCACGGGGTCTGCGGTTGCCCCCTCTGACTGCTCCTCAGCTGATGTTGTTGGACCTTGAGCAAATTCATAGGTGACCTTAACAGCACGTTGTTTCTTCAACAGTTGGTGATGTTGTGACTCTGACAATTCCATTTCTTCATCGTCACTGAAATACTCTTCAACCGTAGAATCATGTTCATCTGAAGCAGCTCGACCTTTCTTATTCTTACAAGCTGATTTGGAATCTTTTCCTTTTTTATCATTGAGATTTTTTGGAATGGCCCCTAATTTTTCAAGAGACTTTTCCTGTTGGGCCTTATTAGTTGGCTTATTTTCTCTTTCTTCGGTTTTGCCTGGTTTTTTATCCTGAAAATAATACATTTATTGATTAGCCTCTTATTGGTTGACTCTTGACTGAAAAATACCCCCACCGCAGCAAACCTGCAGACTAAGCGAATTTCCATTTGCTTGATTGGATTTACACTAAAATATCTCCTTAAAAATATCACAAAATTATTCCATATTTAAATAGCATTAGTTTAACAAGTACTTAGGTTTAATGCAACAGGGCGGGTTTAAGAGTTTTTTATGTGTAATGTTAATACAGTGTGTAGTTTAGTGTGGAATTAAGTAAGTGTAACTTAATAACTGTAACTTAATAAGTGTAACTTAGGCTAAGAAGTCTGAATAATCCGCAAAGATAAAAAAAGTCCAGTGGATAGCGCATTAATTTAGGGCCCATAAGATTCAATTATAACAAGTTGGCAATGTCTCATGTATGGCTGCTAGACCACCATATTCATGGGAATTAGTAGGGATTTCACAGAATGTTGATTCTATGTCATAAAAAATCAATGAATATCAGGAACTTACAATTGTTGGAAATATTAAAACAAAAAGTCTTCCTACCCCCATGATTAAAACATTTAACTAGCTCCAATTTTCTCTTAAATATTTAAAATTTTTAAATTCAACTATTCTTATAAGCTGTTACAAATCATGTAGGCCTAATAATATTTTAAGGATGAAAATTGTAAAAATCGCAGTAAAGTTGCCAATAAATAATTTCAATTTTAAACAAGAACATGGCTACCTATGTTGAAAAAGGGGTGGAGAGCACTTTGACTTAACATTTCTATGGCAATTTAATTCAAAGATTTGTTTCATTCTTTTTTATAAGTCATTCACTCATATTCAGCCCAAAGTTTTGTAACTCAGCTACACAACCATCAGAATGTATAGAGAAAGCCACTTTTTCCCAAATGTAACACACTAAGCTCCTAAACGAATTGCTTTAGAGAAAATATGTGAAAAATACAGACGTGTTTAAATAAAATTTACATTCAAAACCCGTTATGAAATACAATGGTTTCCATTCAAAATTTCAAAGTTAGTCCCCATAGTGGAAAATAGTGGCCATTTTGGAATAAGTGGAATTCATATTTTTTTATGTTATAAGATTATAATATTAGTTCCCTATTAATGTTTTTTCTATGTCAAATAGTTTGGAGATACCAATGGTGGCACACTTTAAGTTGTTCACCCTGTATAATAAAACATAAAACTGTGAATCAAATTATTTGTAAGCCAATTTTACCTCTCAAGTTTTATATGGTTCCAATTTAAAACTATATTGATCAAAAATCCATAAATTCGTTACTTCAAGGCACGAAAGTATAATATTGCCAAATGATATATAGTCCAGGCAAATTAGATCAAATATAGGGTGTGCTCCCCGAAAAATCGTCTAAAGCTGGAAAGTGTTTTAATACCTTTTGGGGGTCCCAAATAAGACTCCTGTGAGTTTGCGACGGATTCTGACGTCTGCTTAAGTTTTGGGAGTCGAAAAACTATGAAAATTTTGCACTTTTTTCAGTTTTTCACTTATAACTCCTAAATAACGAATCCTAAGGAAAATGTTGTTCAAAGGTGTCTTTTAGTGCATTAAATTCTGCGTCGATTTATGTTAAATGCGTCAAAATCAGCCGAGCCGTTTAGTCGCTGTAGCTTTTCAAAGTTGGGATATTTTCATCAACATGGCCAAAAGGTTGATTATTTGACCAGTTTTCGGCTTAAACTCCTAAACGACGCATGCTATACAAAAATGCACCTGTAGTTAGTTTGGAAAACACAAAATTCTGCGTATAATGTTTTTTTTTTATTAATCAATAACGGCAATTGATTGTTACCTACTTTGTATGGACGCCATTTCATTGAAAAAAGTATTAAAGTTAAAGTTGGGAAATTTTAATAAAATTGGTAACAACATAGATCCTGTCCTTAAATGGATTATGAGTTATTAGATAGTGGTTTATTCCATGATGGTCATCTAGAGGTTTATCTAATAAGGTGTGATGAGAGTAGACCCCCTATGTAATTTTAAGTCTAATATTGTTGTCTGAGGTTCCGAAAATTCTAGGATTCATCCCAACCACCCATTATATACGATCTATCCCTGTATTCATCTTTCAGTTTTTGGCTTACATCTTCTAACGCATGCTATAGAAAAAATGTTCCTGTAGTTAGTTTGAAGAGCATAAACGTCTGCGTAGAATGTTTTCCAATTCATTAAGATCGGCTTCACCATTTAACCGCTATTGATTGTTAACACTAGATCAGATGCTTGTCAAGTTTAAAAATCTTACCATTGAAATCTTGCAAACAACCAGCCTAATTACAAAAAACATAGGGGATATGGCAGTGAATCTATCCACTAGTGTGACGTCATGGATCCTGCAGCATGGCCTATGAACAAGTAAGTCAGTGCTCATGAGAGCAACATCTACTGTGGAGAGCTTTTTCCGAGATAGGGGAATCAATGATGTGGGTCTAGCCCGATGGTTCGCTGGCAGGCCCATCGCAGTGAATGCTACCCATCAAGTTAAGGTATATTGTGGGATCACCTCTTCAACATATTATCAGCAAGTTGACAATATAAACTCCACGGATACGGTGGGATCAAAAAGAAATTCATCAAATGGTTCCAGTGTCACGACCCATTTAGTGAAAATATTTCACTCATGTCAATCAGCTCAGCAGTTATCCCATATGATAGCATCAACGCGAGATATGTATAAAGCATAATGGAAAGGCATAGCTTGCAAGAAAATCGTAAATAGGCAAGTCTATAATGACCATAAACTGTGCAGAATAAAAGGAAGTGGTGACATTAATCGCGAGCTGTGATGACAACAGCAAAGGTTAAAGAAGAATCTGCCCCCTCAGTCAACACGTGATATTCCACATTAAATCCAAGCCTCAATTTGAATCATACTTTGGATTAAACATAGGTCCGTACCCACTAGCGCAGTTTGATGAAGAAAGCGTGATGTAGAAGAGTCGAAAATCTAACTATTCATGTAGCCTAAAACTACTCATGCTGTTTACTCCAATCAATGTGGATATCACTGTGTTCTGACGGGTTACAACGCTTGGCGAAGTTGCAGAAGCAGGTTGGCCCTATACATGGTTGGGAGCAGAAAATATCCAAATCAAGTGAGGGTTGGTCTCTTCTACTGGACACTTTCAACTAATTTTGACTTTGATTCTAATAAAAGGGGCTGCTCATCCACCAATCCTTTAGAGCTCATTTAAAATTGTACTTAATTCAGAGAGATATTTATGGAAAATTAACGTCAATGGGTTAACTCCCATCACTACGGCTAATCCACCGGTTCGACAAGAACTTCTCAACTCCGTCTACCTATCTCGACCATCGTGTACATGTTAAAAAGGTTTACATTTTCTCGCTCCATATGAAATGCAGGGATATAATGCACTACTGTCTGAAAGACTTGCAAGGGGCATGATTATCTCAATTCGATATCTGACGAAAAAGATGGTACCGAATGTCACCATTTGTGGCAAGACCAATAAGAGCAAAGAATGTATCCTTATTCTTAAGATTCCAATGATGAGAAGTAGAAAAGTTATATAGTAAAATCTACGAAAAATCCCAATATTTTTTTTAATAGGCTAAATACATAGTAAAACTATGTACATCCGTCCCATTATCATCTTTCGTTTATTGAGCTAAAAAATAACATTTTTGCTATATTTAATAAAATCTTTCTCGTTGTAATATTTTATTATATATTAGAATCGCTTAACATCATTCGGGAGTGTCCAGAGATGGGATCGTATAAATGGGAGCTTAGGACGAATCCTATAATTTTTGTAACCCCCTCAACAATATTAGATTTAAAATTGCATAGGGGGTCTTGCTACCCTTCCCTTCACACATTCTTGGATAAACCTCTGGATGATAACCATGAAATAAACCACTATCTAGTCATTCATAATCATAATTCTACGCCGAATTTTGTGTTTTCCAAACTAACTACAGGCGCATTTTTGTATAGCGTGCGTCATTTAGGAGTTGTAAGTCGAAAACTGGTCAAATAATCAACCTTTTGGCCATGTTGATGAAAATATCCCATCTTTGAAAAGCTACAGCGGCTAAACGGCTCGGCTGATTTTGACGTATTTAACATCAATCGACGCAAAATTTAATGCACTAAAAGACACCTTTGACCAACATTTTCCTTAGGATTCGTTATTTAGGAGTTATAAGCGAAAAACTGAATAAAGTGCAAAATTTTCATAGTTTTTCGACTCCCAAAACTTAAGCAGACGTCAGAATCCGTCGCAAACTCACAGGAGTCTTATTTGGGACCCCCAAAAGGTATTAAAACACTTTCCAGCTTTAGACGATTTTTTGGGGAGCATATGTCTAATTTGCCTGGGCTAATAGGCATATACATAAACTTATGTGTGTGTAGTTAATTAATATGTAGTTATACAGGGTGTCCCGGAACTCTCTACCAATATTTTAGGGCATTGTTCCTGGGTAAGAAACATATCTAAATATCAT